ACCGTGGCCATCGGGGCGATTATTGAAATGACATCGACTCTATGTCGCCGCTTACGACAAGACATATAGCCCTATCTTAACCGTGTAATATATCGCAATTCGATATTCAAAACCATTACCTACAATTTCAGATATAAAAATGCAAATTTTTTGCAGCCTCGCTAAACGACTTATCAACCATGCATTCCAAAGTTTCTTATCACAGGGCTGTGAAAATATACAATCTAATAAATACAAAATAACCAAATATCTAAAAAGACAAAATTTCAGTTGCAGTCAGTTTCAGTCTTATTGTTGCACAAACTAGTTATTTGACAAAAAAAGAAGATGATCACTCAATTGAAAGAAATTGGCGCCCAATCACAACGACAAGTTAAAAAAAATACTGTGGGAGAAATTTTTTAGGATGCGGACCTCCAAAGAGCCTTCAAAATTAAAAGTATGCAACAAGTGATAGTGCCATGCATTCTGCATATCAAGGGCCAATACACATTTATACACCGGCTACGTAAATCTGCTAAGTTACAAAACATGAATCGACAGTTATCGGATTGTACATCAGTGACAAAATGTGTCTGGGCCCTCATTCTTGACTACAACTACTGTCGCCAGAGCCGCTCTCCGACGCGAATGCGTTGGAGCTTCCTGCTTGTTTCGATCCCCAGGTGCTAAAGAAGTCCGAAAATGCCCATATTAACTTCAGGAAAATTGTCTGGTGCCCATGGGGTACCGCCATTTTGAATTTTTCAAAATTGAGAAAACCCACGACTAGATTTTTGCAGCTATCTCCCCAAAAGGTGCATCCCACGAAAAAAATAAACAAAAAAAACCACCAAAAAGAGCATACAATTTCCTACCGAAATCATCCTCCTCTGTTGTTTTTAACTTAATTTTTTGGTCGAAAAATTAACATTTTCTTCAAAAATCAGCAAATAAAAGGCGCATTTTTGCCGATTTTAGGAGCAATTTAGCTTCATATCTCCGGCCATGATTATCTGAGAAAAAAACTGTTATGCTCATTGAAAAGAGCGCAAAATTTATTTCTAGAAAACATATGTCAATGGTTCCTAAAAACTTGATTTAATCCTGTAAAACAGCAGTTCATTAGCTCCCCCCTTAAATTGTGATTTCGTCAATTACATTATTTTCGCCCTTACAATCAAGAAAAGAAGAAGCACAAAACCTAAAACCGTGGCCCAATCTGTGTGACAAGGTGGAAAAATAGTGCTGGGCCCACACTGCTTAGGGGAGGGGGGAGGGAATCAAAGCCAAAAAGTTCGCAAATGTTCAATCAGAGTAAACAATTGTGAGCTCTAATGAGATCAGTACAAAACTGGGGGGGGGTATGTTCAGCTCAGGCAGTTTGCGTTGGAATATTAAGTTATGCGGTCACGTCGAGAGATCTATAATTTTGGGCCTTTTTATACCTCACCAGTAGATCACACTCGTCAGTGAGATAAAAAATCAAAAAGTTCAAAAATTATCAATCGGAGTCAAAAATTTTTAGCGCTAACGAGTACCATATAGTACGAAACTTGCCGTATTCCAGTGCAAATCGTGCGTACTTCGAACTTGTGCTTAGATGCCGTCTTGGATTTTGCGAGATTTTCAGTTGGGTTCACTGACGAGTCTGATCTACTGATGAAGTATAAAAAAGGCCCAAAATTATAGATCTCTCGACGTGACCGTACATAACTTAATATTCCAACGCAAACTGCCTGAGCTGAACATACTCCCCCCCCCCCCCCAGTTTTGTACTGATCTCATTAGAGCTCACAATTTTTCACTCTGATTGAACATTTTTGAGCTTTTTGGCTTTGCTCTCCCCCCCCCTCCCCTAAGCAGTGTGGGCCCAGCACTATTTGACCACCTTGTTACACACAGGAACCTAACTCACGATATGACTAGAAATTGCCTAGGTCAATATACGTTTAAATATGCTGCAAAAAGGCAGTGTGATATGAAGCCTTTGGTTTTTGGAGCAAATAAAGTTAACTAGTAAATCGTGTAAAAATCAAATCTGTCTAAGAATGTTATAAATAATAAAAATGCGATTAATTCTGTACAAAAATCTGCAAACAATCCTATAGATATTATAGTAATGAAATGATAGGTATCAAATTAAAATAATCTTAGCAGAGTAAAAAATTTGACGGAGTTCTGTGAAAAATATGGAAAACATTTTCGAGGATGATCAGAGTGAATTTCTTGTTTTTATACTACACGATTGAATCTCGTTATGACAATCTGTATCGTACAATGATTGTTCAATCAACTTTTTGGTGACTAAAAGAATCAATGTTATCAAAAAGCTCGAGCAAAATAAAGAAAAAATATTAGTGTCTCTGTTTTAATCTGTCGGCCGGATGTCGCGGGAGCTTAACTGTATTTCCGTCGGAAATGTATGAATCGCTCTACTCTGATAGCTACCATGCCAATCGCTGATTATTTTATATTATCTTTTATTTGTAAGAATCCTGCTGACTCGTTCAAAAAATAGAGCTGGAGAAATGTTTTATCACCGTTAGATAAGAGCTCAACTTCTTGCAGTGTTCTAAATGCCAGACTCATTTCCTCTAAAACATGAAGTGTGTCGTGTTCTTTTGCTGCTTAGCAGTAGCAACAGCTTTTGCGCTGCGACCGCTTTTAACTGTAAGTATGACATTAACTAATACTTTATTTAAGTAATTTTCACTTTATAGTCATATCTTTAAGTATGGGCTTAACAAGTCAATTTTGGTATGTGGAGTGTAGCCAAGTGCTGGAAATAATGTAAATTTTTTTTTAAAAAAAACTTACATTTTATTAATTTTATTAAAAAAAAACTTACTTATATTTTATTAATTTTTTTAAAAAAACTTACATTTTATTAATTTTTTCAAAAAAAACTTACATTTTATTAATTTTATTAAAAAAAACTTACATTTCATTCATAAAATGTAAGTTTTTTTAAAAAAATGTTACATTATTTCTAGCACTTGGCTACACTCCACATCTATACTATAAGCTTCGAGACCTCCTAATTTTGCGTAACTGGTAACGCCTAGTTCCAGCGTTCTACCGGGCCGATTTTCATGATTTTTGCGGTTATCGACGGGCAATTGTCTCTAGATGAGCCCGCTTTATTCAGATTTCCAAAATTCAGGTTTTTTATATTACGAGGTACAGTTGCGAATTTTCCTATTTAAACAATGTAAATTGATGATTTTTGTCATAGTTCGTTTGAGCGTTGTACCGGGCCGATTTCCATAATTTTTGCGGTTATCGACAGGTGATAGGCCCCAGATGAGCCCGTTTTAATCAGATTTTGAAAATAGGGCCCAGGTTTTTTTTACAATCAAGTTATAAAAGTGAGTGAATTTACAGAAAGCTCCGCACCTCCTGCCGCTGTGCGCAGAAGGTTGCGCAGTGGCTGATTGTGAGTGTAGCCTGCGCATCAGCTCTACTTATCATTATCAACACAAGAATGCCCCCGTTTTAATCAGATTTTGAAAATAGGGCCCAGGTTTTTTTTACAATCAAGTTATAAAAGTGAGTGAATTTACAGAAAGCTCCGCACCTCCTGCCGCTGTGCGCAGAAGGTTGCGCAGTGGCTGATTGTGAGTAGCCTGCGCATCAGCTCTACTTATCATTATCAACACAAAAATGCCCCCCTTAGATGAGCGATGGCCAAATCGTCTAGGACGTCGGAAGCGCTGTAAGTCTCAATTTAAGGGTTCGATTCCTGACTCCTCAGCCTCTTAAATTATAGTCTGATTATCGGCGATCGTTGTTTTACTGCATTGTTTCATTAATCAGTCATTGCAAAACGCGTCCTTTTGACTTCAATTTTTTTTCTTTTTTCATCAAAAACAAAAATCATTTCTTTCTAAAAGTAAAGTATACCTCATATCGTAATTATTTAGGGGAAAATAAAACCAACATTGATAGGAGGGTAAAAATAGGGCCGCGAAGCGGCCCATTGATGGCGCGGGGCGCCTTCAGGGGGTTGGGCCGCATAGCGGTCAGGGGGCGTACCCCCTAGTACCAACCATGTTCGCTGAACTTAAGTCAATTCTGTTAATATGATCGGTCATTTCACACTTCATATCTATTTTCAACGCGCTCCTTTTATAACACTTCCCTCCATGTTGAAAAAACTCATTTGTACTGTGCAAACTGTATTTTATTTCATACCTTGAAATACGGTTAGTAAAATAAGGTTCAATTGGTAAGCTTATCATTTTGTCTCTGTAAAATTACCAATATGATTGGTAACAATAGTGAGATGGCAAAGTTACCGATGGACCTTGGTAAAAACGCCAATACTTTTTATAGATCACTGTGGTGAAATTACCGAAAATAAAATGGTAAAGTTACCGAGAATTGATTACCAATAAAAGTGGTATTCTGACCTGAAAAAACTAGTAAAAATACCGGTTTTTAGGTAAAAGCTTACCAGTCTGTCTTGGTAACATTACCAATAATTGGTAAAAAAAGCGAGATGGTAAAGTTACCGACGGACCTTGGTAAAAACGCCGAGAATTTTTTTCAGTGTGATGGGTTTTGGCTACGTAAATGTTCTTATTAGGCCCCTGTGCATATAACTGTGTTCAGTTTCAACTTTCAAACATTTCGGTCGCACAGTGGTCCAAAATGGGGAGAAATTGTCGACAAATCAGGATTCTTTATCAAATTTTTCGAAATGGAAGTAAAATTGTCGTCTCTTGTAGTTTTCATGGCTAAAAACGTTCTTATCGGTCCTCAATGCATTACGTTGTGTTCATTTTTACAAATTTTCATCGCATAGTGGTCCAAAATGGGGGAATTAGTGGATAAATTAAGATCCTCTGTCAAAATTTTTAAAATGAAGTAAAACTGTTGGTCCCCTGTAGAGTTCAGACCCCGAAAAAAATTCATGTATCTAACTTTTTTTTAATTATTACTGTTTGTCAGACGGTATTGTTAATAGAACTTTGTTAAAAATTAGATTTTGTAACATTATTTGCTTCTACATTGCATTAAATATAATATGGGTAAGCTTCTTCACCAAGTCACGGTACTAATCTTTGAAGAAGTTTTTTGTTCATTTTTTTAAATCTTTTTTGTTTTCTGATTTTTTTAATTTTTTTTGTTCTTTGTTTTGGGTTTTTGTTTTTTCCTTTTTCTTTTGTTTTCTGTTTTTTTTTCATTCTTTTTTTTACTGTTGAAATCTTTATTTAATTTTTCTCTCCATTTTTCCTCATTTTTTTTTTAAATTTCTGAAAGTTTGCATATTTAATAGAAATAGTGCTACAAAATCTAATCTATAACAAAGTTCTATAAACAATATGGTCTGACATGCAGCAATAATTAATAAAAATTAGATACACGAAGTTTTTTTGGGATTTGAACTCTGTAGGGGATCAACAGTTTTACTTCATTTTAAAAATTTTGACAGAGGATCTTAATTTATCCACTAATTCCCCCATTTTGGACCACTATGCGATGAAAATTGAGGACACCGCACCAAGAATAGCCTATAACTGGAAACCGCGTTTTGAGAAAAACGCATTTAAAGTTTTGTTTTTGATGTACTGCGCAGACTTATTTCTACGCAGGTACCCTGTTTTGGTGTTTTTGGGTGACCTAACCCTTCTATTGAAGGATGCCGGGTAGATTTTGCGATACATTTTGGGTTTACACTCTAATATATTTAATTTAAAAAAGCAGATTACAGGCCATTATTACGCCCAACAGTCATTTTGGTGGGAATATGAAGTATAAATCATTTTAATCACGCTTGATTAACGCAAAATGGAAGAATATCGATAGTGAGTAAAGATAGGGGTAACTAGCACCTTATAGGCCATTAAGTTTATAGTTAAGTTAGGCCGCGCGTATAGGTCGTTCTTGCACCCATCGATCCAGAGGCCTGACTTAACTCGGAAAAAAAAGGTTTTTCGACCTCGAGCCGTTAACTATCTATCTTCTATCGCTACCACAGCAGTCCAGGGTACGTAGAATCCGAAAAGCAGATGGGCGTAATAACGACCTATACGCCTATAGGCTGTTCTTGGTGCGGTGTCCTCAATTTGTAAAAATGAACACAACATTGAGGACCGATAAAAACGTTATTAGCCATGAAAACTACAAGAGACGACAATTTTACTTCCATTTCAAAAAATTTGATAGAGAATCCTGATTTTTCGACAATTTCTCGCCATTATGGACCAATGTGCGACCGACATTTTTGAAACTGAACACAGTTATATGCACGGGGGCCTAATAAGAACATATACAGCCAAAACTCATCAAAGGTGTAACTTTTTCGTCCATTTTCCCCGTCTTTTTGCTGTAAAAATGATGTCCAGAATGATGGCGATTTGGCAACTTTGCCCCCCATTTCTTAAAAACCGTGCGTATACAGGGTGATCCAAAAGTCCCTTCCACCCCCTCTAACTTTTTATCTAATTGAGGGAAAGATTTGAAACTTGGAGGATATTCCTAGGTCAAAGGAAGCTACTTTTTGGCCCCCCTAAAATTTTCAGGGGGGCTCCCCTTGGGGGGCAACGGCCCCCAACTTTTAATTTTCAAATGCGAAGACCCCTTTTGTGGTAGCTCGTTCGAAAGAGCATGTAAAAAGAAAACTTTTCGCGCAAACCCGAAGTCAATATCTCAAACCGTTTCAAAATGGCGATCGGTTAAAGTTCAAAATGGCCGAAAATTCACACCGGTTATTTCTCGATGGATTTGTGCGAAAATCGGTAAGCAGGGGTATTTTGACACGAGAAAAACGAATTTGACATTAGATTTTCAAAAAACCAAAATTTCCAAAATGGCCGCCGGTTAAAGTTCAAAATGACCAAATATTGATTTTTTTAGAAATCTTTGTAAGTTCAAATTTGTTTATCTTACGTCAAAATACTCTCAAATTCTCAGTTTTAGACAATACCATCAGGAAAAAACCGAGGTGACAATTTTCGGCGATTTTAAACTTTCACCGGCGGCCATTTTGGAAATTTTGGTTTTTTGAAAATCTAATGTCAAATTCGTTTTTCTCGTGTCAAAATACCCCTGCTTACCGATTTTCGCGCAAATCCATCGAGAAATAACCGGTGTGAATTTTCGGCCATTTTGAACTTTAACCGATCGCCATTTTGAAACGGTTTGAGATATTGACTTCGGGTTTGCGCGAAAAGTTTTCTTTTTACATGCTCTTTCGAACGAGCTACCACAAAAGGGGTCTTCGCATTTGAAAATTAAAAGTTGGGGGCCGTTGCCCCCCAAAGGGGAGCCCCCCTGAAAATTTTAGGGGGGCCAAAAAGTAGCTTCCTTTGACCTAGGAATATCCTCCAAGTTTCAAACCTTTACCTCAATTAGGTAAAAAGTTAGAGGGGGTGGAAGGGACTTTTGGATCACCGTGTATGTATACTCAAGCTAAAATTGTTACCAGAGTTTTAGGGTATCATAAGGTATCGTTTTGGCCCGGTTTCAGAAGAATCCTCGCGGACCCAAATTGTACCATTCTGGACGTCGCTCTTTCCTTTTCAGTACCTATATAAAATGTTTCCCTTTGCACATTTTTCTCCTTTATTCCTTTGTTTTTCGATTTTATTTTCCTTTTTCTTTTTTTTATCAATTTTATATGTATGATGACAGCAGTTATTATACTTTTTAATAATACATACAGGGTGTTCGAAAAGTCCCCTCCCCCCCTCTAACTTTTGACCTAATTGAGGTAGAGATTTGAAACTTGGAGGGTGTTCCTAGATCAAAGAGAGCTACTTTTTGACCCCCCCCCCCAAAATTTGGGGGGCCCCATTTTGGAGGGGTTACGGACCCTAACTTTTAATTTTCAAATGGGAAGACCCCCTTTGTGATACCTCGTTCGAAAGAGCATAAAAAAAGAAAATTTTTCGCGCAAACCGGAAGTCATTATCTCAAACCGTTGCAAAATGGCGGCCGGTCAAAGTTCCAAATGGCCGAAAATTTGCACCTCTGCTATTTGCACATGGATTTGCTTGAAACTCGGTATCTGGGGGTGTTTTGGCACGAGAAAAACGAATTTAACGTTAGATTTTCAAAAAAACCCTAATTTTTCAAAATGGCGACCGGTTTAGGCTCAAAAAGGCCGAAAATTTGACAAACTCGATTTTTTATCCAATGGATTCACCTGAAATTCGGTATCTGGGGGTATTTTGACCCGAGAATAACGAATTCAACGTTAGATTTTTAAACAAACCCTAATTTTTCAAAATGGCCGCCGATTAAAGTTCAAAATGGTCAACAATTGGCAACCTCGACTTTTTGCCGATAGATTCGCCTCAAACTCGGTGAAATAACGTCGAATTCGTTTGTCTCCCACCCAGATACCCTCAAACACCGAGTTTGAGGCGAATCTATTGGCAAAAAGTCGAGGTTGCCAATTGTTGACCATTTTGAACTTTAATCGGCGGCCATTTTGAAAAATTAGGGTTTGTTTAAAAATCTAACGTTGAATTCGTTATTCTCGGGTCAAAATACCCCCAGATACCGAATTTCAGGTGAATCCATTGGCAAAAAAATCGAGTTTGTCAAATTTTCGGCCTTTTTGAGCCTAAACCGGTCGCCATTTTGAAAAATTAGGGTTTTTTTGAAAATCTAACGTTAAATTCGTTTTTCTCGTGCCAAAATACCCCCAGATACCGAGTTTCAAGCAAATCCATGTGCAAATAGCAGAGGTGCCAATTTTCGGCCATTTGGAACTTTGACCGGCCGCCATTTTGAAACGGTTTGAGATAATGACTTCCGGTTTGCGCGAAAAATTTTCTTTTTTTATGCTCTTTCGAACGAGGTATCACAAAGGGGGTCTTCCCATTTGAAAATTAAAAGTTAGGGTCCGTAACCCCCCCAAAATGGGGCCCCCCAAAATTTTGGGGGGGTCAAAAAGTAGCTCCCTTTGATCTAGGAACACCCTCCAAGTTTCAAATCTCTACCTCAATTAGGTCAAAAGTTAGAGGGGGGGGGGGGGCTTTTCGAACACCCTGTATATTAAGAATTGTCGATGTATGAGAAGGCTGCTGAGAAATTGTTATGCTTGGCATCTTCACTCAACGTAATTGAGATGGATGCATGCTGCTAAAGCAGTTAAAGCACCTGCCGCCAATCTTCGATCAGAAACTTCGTCGAATAATTATAATTTACGTCCTCAGGATAGCGAGGCTTCAGTCAGCGCATCTATTTTGCTGAGTTTCGAAAGTAAGTTGCTTGGCTAATTTTTATTGCGGGAAGTTCTCGCGATAAAAAATCTGCGTTCTTGCCGGGAAGCCTGCAAAATAGGTAACTCAGTTTTGTAGATTTTGTAAAACTGAATAACTTGAGAAGGAGGATTACTCACGATCAGTAAAATATTGTGGAGTTTTTTTGTTAGTTCTTGAAGTTGAAGTTGCGCATGCTGTAGGCGGAAAATATTCCCTGGTAAAAATTGGCAGTAGAATCTGTGTTCCAAAATACCTTAGACCTACAGCCGGCTGTAGGATTTCCAATAGCTTCTATAGCCGGCTACACAATTTCTTATTGCCTTTTATAGCCGATGGCGATTAAGCAACAGCCAGGCGATAAAGTGTATGCTAAACGTTACTAATTACGGATGATAGGACTTAGTGAGTTTTTGGACCACTGCTCTCTTTTTGGGCCGTAGGATCTTGATTTATTTTGCGAGAAAAGCTCGGTACTTTTGATAGATCCCTGCCAGTCCTAATATATTAAAGCGCCTTCAGTTTCGTATGATACTGTGCAATACTTCTGGTGTGAAATAGTTGCTTCAAGCGCCGCGGCACGCTGCGGTGCGGCAGGCGGGCAGCCAGCGCGAAACGCGCATTGGCGCCTACAAACCTAACAGGGATACTTCACGCGTTGCGCAATGCGTGAAGTATTCCTGTTAGGTTTGTAGGCGCCAGTACGTCGCCGCACCGCTTTCTGTTAGGCTCTAATATTTAATCTGGCAGAGTCAGCGTTATTCACCTCATGATTTTGAAATGTTTGCACATCCTGTATGGATTATTCTCATTTTAACTGATGAAAAAAAATATGTATTTAAGGAAAATATAATGTAAGTGTGAAGCCCGGCGATAGCCTTCTTTAGCCGGCTATAAACATTCCTATGGTATTTTGAAACCCAGCTCTTATCGCCAATTTTTACCAGGGTTATGGAGAGCGCGTTGTGCGTTAAGGCGCGCCGGATCAAATGAAGGGGCCAGAACGAGATACGCATCTCTGCACTTAAGCCCGAGATACGCTGTTGCTTTTCCTGCAATACGTATGATTTGTTCGATTGTTCATCTTCTTTTCCTCTCTTTTTTTTGTCAGGGTCAACAGCCGCAGTCTGACGACGATAACACGCCTCAGAGACGCGTGGACAAAATCTTCGATCAGATGGACAAGAACCACGATGACAAATTGACACTGGAGGAATTCCGAGAGGGGAGCAAAGCCGACCCCCGAATCGTCCAGGCCCTGTCCCTGGGGGGCGATCCCGCCTCCGCCGCAGCCGCCGCTGCCAACAGTGGGGGTGTCGAGCCCCGACTCAGTAAATAACAACCCTCCACCCCTCACCTGACACCTGAACCTTTTCTCTTTTGTAAATACTCTCGCAAAGCTTCTTTTCTAATTTTTAAACACACTTGTTTCTTTTTTTGTAAGGAACATTTTTGTTTGTGTTGGGAGACTCTTGGAGTAAGCCTCGGCTATTAGATCGAACTTGAAACTTGAACACAACACTGCCGTGCTAAGGAAAAACGCCGTGTGAACATTCGAGAGTTGCCAAATTTCCCTTGATACACGGAGAAAAAAATCTCGTGCGTGGGACCCGAAGTTTAGGTCATATGGATCTCTGAAGCTGTCAGATTGAGCATCTGAACACTGCTTTAGGTCTGGCTGTCGAGGTTCGGATCACACATCTGAAACTTCAGTTCTTACATCTGAAGTACTTCAGATGTGAGAACCGAAGTTTTCCGGATGTGAAAACCGAAGTACTTCAGATGTAAGAACTGAAGTTTCAGATGTGTGATCCGGACCTCGACGGCTAGACCTAAAGTTTTCAGATGCTCAATCTGAAAACTTCAGAGATCCATATGACCTAACCTTCGGGTCCCACGCACGAGGTTTTTTTCTCCGTGAAGTAACGCCCTTACAACGTTATTTCAACGAAAGAAGGTGTTGGTAGTTACGTAACAAGGTATTGACATTATACGTAAATGTGTCGCCCCATTAACGTGATTTTTTCAGGCGAGGTTACGAGTCTATTTTTCTCAGATTTTTCGTAGTTTTGTTTGATGAAATTCAATGTTCTGTTCTGTGAAAATGTTACATCAGCCGTTCTAATAATCGCCCTCTGATTTTTCCTTTTTACGAATGTTCACAGGCTTTGTTGGAAAAAGAGGTGAGTTTTGTAATGAACAGAACAATGATTGAACTATTAGAAAAACGCCTCCTTAAAGGTATTCCCAGTAAGAGGACTGCTGAATATAAGAACCTACCCGAAAAAGTATACCAGTGGAAGTATGTGCTGGATCGGGAAAACAAAACATTTCCAATTGTGACATCAGACGACTTTAGAATAATATTAGAAAGTCTTAAGAATCGAACAACGTTTCCTAAAACATTTTTGGACTTTGGAACATGTATGAGAGAAATATATCAAGAATTATGTGAAGACATGCAGAGTCGCATGTTTGCGCTCTTCAGGGGCTTGCCGTATGATTTCTCTGTTCCAGTGAAAAAATCCTGCTCACCAGTAGTGAGCATAATTGATGATATTTTCGCCATAGAAAATGTGCAATTGTTTAAACGTAAAGTTTCTGTATAATATAGCTTTTTTGGGTAAATTAATACAAAAAATTGAGTAACATATCTAAATACTAACATTGACATTTATTACTTTATTTTCATTGGTTAACTGTAAGTAAACCTATAATTCTCAACCTTTGTGAAAGTCTATACTTTGTTACGGTTGCGAAATTGTCAGTCCAAATAAAACCATATTAATACTACTACTTCTCTTTACCTCTTTTAAAATTTTCAATGTCCAACATTTATTACATTGACTCCGAAATCAGTGATTATTTAAATATCACGATAGATATATATTAAATTTTAAGACTCATAAGTTCTAGCAGCATACGTCTAGAATGCTTAGAAACGAACGCAAGCTTTGAAAGTTTAAAAATAAAAACTATAACTTGATCCCAGTTTCTCTTACGGGATATCTGTAAGTGCGAGAGAGATAGCTCACGGTATGGGAGAGAGATATCTGCAACTGCTGAGAGCGATCAATCGCGATTGGTTGCATCAAGGTCATCATGCTTAACCATATTTTTTTCTGGGATCAAGTTTCAGAGCTTCAGAAATTACTTTTCACGTCTTTTTTAGCCAACAGGAAGCATAATGTTATGGCTAGAACTTATGACTCTTCGATTTTAACAGAAATTCCTTTAACTTTCATAAATGCTCAAGGACTCACGTGGGGCTGTACGGATAGCTTGGACCAAAAAATCAAAACACAGCGGTGGCGCTCCCTGCGCGGAAAAATATCTTACTACGCACCGCTGTAGATTCACCTTATAACTCTCAGTTAAAGGGACTCTAAACCATACGTAACCTACAATGTGGTTTCTAAAGTTGGCGCTCACCATCAATGCATCCATCGCCCGGTTCTACGCGCGCGTAGTTTTTGAATGACATTTTTTTTTAAAGAATTGAGAGACGCTACTATCTTCAATTAATTCTCTTTTCTACGCCCATATAAGTCTGAAAACTTTCCGGAAGTACAATCCTTGAAGTCTACCGATTTAAATTTTACCTACTTTAAATGGATTTATGCTACAATGGAGATGTTGCATGTGTGAGGGATTTGCGATTTGACCATTGATTCTTGTGTAAAAGTTCGCGAGAAACACGATGGTGCCACTGGTTTTCTCTGATCATCTCCCAAGCTCAAAAAAAGCTCTCAAAGTGAGGCCAGAATGGAGGGGATATCCCATCCTACAGAGTCCACCTCTACATCAAAACAAACTCTCCATGCAAAGCTAGGGAGCAAATACATTAACAATACAGCAATACATTGGTCCTTGTGGTTTCACCAAGAAAATCGCTAATTTTTAGCTTGGTTTGGCAGCGTAGTCGAGCGAAGTTGGGCTTCTTAGGAATACAATCGAGTCCTTTGCGAGGTGGTAAGGTGTAACATAGGGTGGAGATAACGCGTGGAAAAGAGCCTCGCAACTTGCCGCTTCTCGAACTCGATGTTTCTTAGCGGGGTCGAGAGGTTGAACCATGTAGACTGAAGAGAATACGGTGTAGGGAATGCGTGCAACAATAACACGCTAATTAATCCTGCGAATCTGCATTGCAGATTTATCGGATTATCCCTGTTGTGAATCTGCATTACAGATGTACCCGGTGAATCAATTATTTATCGGTGCGGTGTTACTGTTGCGTCTTCACCTGCATCCTCATATTTTCAGAGTATAGTTATCATTTGATAAGGAAAAGTGAGAATATTATACAAACCGAATTTAGACAACTTTCTTGGCCTACTTCAGAAACAATGTTTGAACCAACAACTTTGTAACAATGTAATTGATATTCCTCGAAAATAGGCGCTTTGAGACAGTGACAACTTTTATGGCTATTATAGACCACTAGACAAATTAATAATTTAAGCATTCTGATACGTGTTTCTGCTTTAAAATGTTTCTTAAAACACGATTCGTAAGACAAAAATTACTTATGCTGTGATAAACGCCAACACCCGTTCCCATCTACTCCCACCAAGAACGGCCGCCATTTTTTGGACCCTCAGGGTTCTATGTCAATGACCATACTCTCCAGTATTTAGATGTACTGTACTACCCTGCTGCCTGCTAGGGAAAAAGGGAAAGCAATAGAGTAGAGACGTTCTCAGGTCTCGTTTTTCAACTAATCTCCCGAATCTGAACGACACCTTATTGTCAGGATAGAGCGGAGCACTGCGAGTTCACGCCGCGCGCTATCGCGCCTTCAATTTTGCAGATGCAACACGGACATCCATCAAGCACGAATAGTTGTATCTCTGCGCCGTCAACAACGCGCGAAGTTTCCCTCGCTCTACTTCCATACTGCCGTGCTAAGGAAGAACGCCGTATGAACGTTCGAGAGTTGCCTTAAAATATTCATTTCTGAGGAGATTTATGAATAATATTTTTCCTTAAAATTTTCAGACTTTTTAGTAGATATGCGGACGAAACCGTGCGAAAAGCCGAAGGAGACGTAATCGCAGATTTCCCTGAAGAATCGTGATTTGTTGAAGGAAATTTGGCAACATCTAATGGCTCATACAGCGTTCTTACTTAACACGTTAGGGTACTGCCGTCCCAAGGAATAACACCGTATGAACATTCGAGAGTTGCCAAATTTCCTACAATAAGTGTTTATTATTTTTGAGGAAAGCTATGAATGTCATTCCTTGAAATTTTCAGGAATTTCAGGTGAAATTGCGAACTAAATTATCTAGGAAAAATCGGTGGGCAAATATTTACAAATTCGCGAAAATTCGTGATTTACCAAAGGCAATTTGGGAGCCCCTGAAGGTACATACGGCGTTTTTCCTTAGCACAGCACTGTCGTGAAACGCAAAAACGCCGTAATATTTTTTGGAAACAATGTATCATAGCAAAATGAACGTGTGTACCTGGGACAATGTTTTTCTAGAATTATTTAGCAAATACTATCAAGAACTTGGCCTGAAAATTTGAGGCGTGTGGGTCTCCATTTTATAAAGTGTTAAGTTCCAAAAAACGCGGGAAAATCTTGATGAATTTACGGCGTTCTTGCTTAGCACGGCAGAGCAGTATACTGCCGTGCTAAGGAAGAACGCCGTATGAACATCCGAGAGTTGCCAAATTTCCTCCTGTGAAATGTTCATTTTTTAGGAAAGTTAAAAATATTATTCCTCGAAATTTTCAGGAGCCTTAGATGAAATTGAGAACAATATTACATGAGAAATTGGAAGACAAATATTCATAAGTTTGCCAGGTAATTCGTGTTTTATCAAAGGAAATTTGGCAACGCCTGGAAGTTCATACGGCGTTTTTCCTTAGCACAGCAGTATAGTCCAGTGGCTGGGTTGAAAAGGGTTAATCCGGTGGAACTCACCTGGGGGTACTCGCTGTCCTTGGTCTGGTAGTCGAAGACGAAGAAGAAGCTCTTGACGTTGCTGGAGATCTTGGCCGAGGGGGTGGAGTGGAGGTCGGCGATCTGGACGAGGGGCGCGACGTACTGGGCGTCGGAGAGGGCGGCGATGGTGGCGTCGCGGGTGTTCATCGGGTGGTCGACGGTCCGCTCCCAGTCGGTGTACTCGTTCACCACCGTGAAGAAGATCTCCGACAAGTGGTACGTGTACGCGTTGCGCACGTACGTCCGCAGGATCTTGTCCCGCCGGTCCCCGTCGAAGCCCTTCTGCACGTCCACGTTCGAGAACTTGTTCAGCGACTCCGACGTCGAGACCCCGAATATCGCGCTATACCTGCTGTAACCTGCAACGCATCGTCAATAGTAATTAACCAACTTAAGCTAAAACCAACTAAAAAACTCGAATACAGATGTTGCATGTGTGAGGAATTTGCGATTTGACTGTTGCTTCTTATGTAAAAGTTTGCGAGAAACACGATGGTGCCACTGGTTTTCTCTGAAATCAATTCCCAAGCTCAAAAAAAGCTCGCAAGTTGAGGCCAAAATGGAGGGGATATCTCACGCTATACTGAGAGTCCACCTCTACATCAAAACAAACTCCCCATGCAAAGATAGGGAGCAAATACATTAGCAGGGTTGCCACTTTATTTGGGGACTCCAAAACTGAAAACCCGGCAACCCTGCTAATGTATTTGCTCCCTATCTTTGCACGGAGAGTTTGTTTTGATGTAGAGGTGGACTCTCAGTAGTGGGGCCGATAAGTGGAAAATATCATAACAATCGTGCACTTCTGGAAGAAAGCATGAAAATTTCAGGGATTCATCTCTACCCTATAGACTTTCGATTTAGACATAGACCCCCAAAATCTGAGCCCCCTGGGGGGGCAGGGGGGCCCCCAAATTTTGAATTCCGTATAACTACTGAACGGCTAATGTTAGCGTAATTTTTTTACAGCAGGACGATGGGAAATTTTATTAGGAACAAAAATGGTTCTATGAATTTTTCTGTGGGATCGATATTTAAGGCGTGGAACGGGAAAAACCATCGGGGAACGGGGAGCCGGCCGTTCTGAGGCAGATCCGCGCGCTGCACTGCCTGTCCGGGACGCGCGCGGCGGCGGAGTACGGTGTTCCCGACGAAATAGCCGCTTGTCTCGGTTTAATCTCAACGGTGCGCAGTTTTAAAAATACTTATGAATTTACTGTACTGCCTAAGTACTTTTCCATAGTGATATAAGCCCTACTTTTTATTAGTAACACATAAAAACAAGCAAAAGGCGAAATACTCCAATGCAAAAGTGCCGAGTCAATAAGAGGGGTCGGTCATCGCGCATCACGCGTCTTGTTTTCTCTGAATACAGAGCTTTTCCGATCTCAGTACAGAGTGTATTACCCTTTCCTCACGTAAGTTTTGTAAAGGATTACATTTTTTAAGATATTAGAGCGAAATAACAAGTTTTAATATACGATTTTGACCCACTTTTTAATGACTATTGGAAATGGCGGATCCTTGATAACTTATTTTTAGTTTATTTTCCACGTTACTTTCGGCGAATGGGACCATAAGCTGCTTACATAAGCAAGAATTTTGCAAAACTTGATGCTAAGACACTACTTGAGGAGTAAAGAGGGGGGCTTCACATACACCAAGAATACCAGATTTCCTTCATTTTCCTCCAATATCGTTTTTCGTTCATGTTAATTGGTTTCTCGCAATTGCACAGGTTACATACGAAACATTCCGACAATGTTCTTTTCTCCTCTTTTTTCCTCCAGCCAGTCAATAGAAGTTTTCATTTTCATGAACTCCCCACTCTTTCAGTTATTCAACAAATATGCATATTTCAAAAAATAGAACAATACATTATCTATACTAATAAAGCAGACTTCACGTTGATTGACTCACTCACTGACTCACGTATCAGCGGATCTCGTGAACGGGAGGCCGTGTGACCCTGAGATTCCGCACTGGGATCCCTCTCTACCCCGAGGCGCCGGATAAGGGAGGATTTCGCGATCCGCCCGCCGGTTCGCNGCTTCTTTTTATCGAGTCACCCTTGAAGATATTATTGGTACTTTCCACAAGACATAAAAAATGGAATGAGTAGTAAAAAAATCCATGTATATTATTTTTCATTTTGTTCTACGGAGTTTGGAGTGGAGTTGGTAACATTTGTATTGAAAAAAATATTAATGTAGGAGGAAATTTATTTATCATGCAGGTTCTGATCCTTTAAAGAACTTTGAGAAGGACCAGTACGTCAGGAAGAAATTCATTGCATTTCTTCTTTTTCAACCCACCAAATCTCGTACCGATTTTTGATTTGTAAGTATGTCGGAGAAAATTGTCAAGAAAAGGGACTTGCAAAATATGCAGTGCACAAAACGTACACCTTAAACTTTATCGTACAGTATAACACTGATCGAATTAGCTTTAGAGATTATCAAAAGGTTAATTTCTCGTCAAAATATCAACAAATCAGTCAAAATCAGTAATCAGTAATCAGTTGCAAAATTACCGAGATTGCGGAATATCGAATGATGCGCGATTTAATTGACGACATAAGAACAGGATAGGTCCCCAGTAGGCGCGACTTCCTATGACTCAAATGGAACGTTTTTGCAGATTAGCGGATATTGGCGGCTATTCATTACTTAATAATATTCTTTGTACTGTACAGGAAGCAGTCCAACGAATGTTTTTTCGAGGTCTTTTATCCCTATCAAGCTTTCTCAAGATTCTTTTGGCGTTTTTTCGGAGCAAGTTTTGAAGGTGGTTTTGGTCCTCTTAAAAAATGCCTATACGTAGCAAATGATGTACCAATATGTTCCTTAAAGAGAGGAGAATAAGCATGTTTTTATGTATACTCATGTTTTACAAAATTAGTTTCCCTGTCTTAAAAGTCTGGCTGGAAGCCGTCTCCCGGGAACTTTAGGGTATGTAAGCATATTTAGATATCATTCTGGTGGCGCAGCACCGAGAAAAAGAGAGAGAAAAAAAAACACTTTAAAATAATTTTTCAGGTCATCGTGGTTAACAAAAAAGATTTGTGATTTTTAGTCCCCCCCCCCTTCACGAGACAACTGTGCGTCAGATTTTATTCCGTTCAACTGATGTCTGATACAGTTATCTCGGATGCTTTAATAAAAATTGACAAACCCGTACAACAAAACATCCCCGAACTCCAGCACTTAGCCCCTTCTCCTTCTCATTCTTTTGCCGTGCGCTCACTTGTATACATATATTACCTGCAAAAATTAAGGACTATTTTAAGGCTTTATAGGTATAGTACTATACATTTATAATATTTTTAAAACTGCGCACCGTTGAGATCAAACCGAGACAAGCGGCTATTTCGTCGGGAACACCGTACTCCGCCGCCGCGCGCGTCCCGGGCAGGCAGCGCAGCGCGCGGATCTGCCTCAGAACGGCCGGCTCCCCGTCCCCCGATGGTTTTTCCCGTTTCACGCCTTAAATATCGATCCCACAGAAAAATTCATGGAACCATTTTTGTTCCTAATAAAATGTCCCATCGTCCTGCTGTAAAAAAATTACGCTAACATTAGCCGTTCAGTAGTTATACGAAATTCAAAATTTGGGGGCCCCCCTGCCCCCCCAGGGGGCTCAGATTTTTGGGGTCTATGTCTAAATCGAAAGTCTATAGGGTAGAGATGAATCCCTGAAATTTTCATGCTTTCTTCCAGAAGTGCACGATTGTTACGCTTATTGGCCCCACCACAGGGTAGGGTGGGATATCCCCTCCATTTTGGCCTCAACTTGAGAGCTTACTTTGAGCTTGGGAGTTGATTTCAGAGAAAACCAATGGCACCATCGTGTTTCTCGCGAACTTTTACATAAGAAGCAACAGTCAAATCGCAAATTCCTCACACATGCAACATCTCCATTCGCTTACGTCTTAAAACGCCAGACTAGTTTCGGGAGCTATCGCTTCCTATCCTCAGTCATTGTTGACTTAATTAACCAATTACCAACATGTATATATGTTACTAGTTGCTCAGTTGCTAGCGTAATCGACATTATTCAATATTCATGTATTGACTTAGTTACCTTAGTGTGATTCGAATAGGAATTTGAACTAACTGCCCGGCAAAGCTGAGAGTATCACCTGGATTTGAAGGCGCTTCACGCCTAACTCGTGGTTCTGAGGCTCTTTATCTTCATCATTACTATTTCGTAGAGTACTATCATGTGGAGAATACGAACATGCAAGTAAGTGTGAGACTGTGGAGCTTCAAGGACCCAAAAAGGTAGCGAACCTATGATTTCAAATCATTCAGAGGTGATATTTATTACTACCGTTGTTATACGACCCGTCGTTGGTAAACTACGTATTTGACATAGTCTTTGCGTGAATTTACACATTTTTGCGGAAGAACGCTCATTTGTGAACATTTTTGGTCATCTTGGTTTAATATTAGAATCTAAATATTGGCAGTGGCATTTTTTGTGTTAAGAGGGTTGGCTGCCCTTTTGGGCTCTAAGAACTCCATATTTCGACTTGTCTTTACTCTACCTGTATGGATACCCTACTATTACTACTTCTAACAAGTCGCTCTTGTAGCGCTTCTGTGCGCTTTGCGACACCCAACCGCCACTGACAGCGATCCTGCCAGAGCTCCTCCGGCAGATCGCATCTCCTCATTTCCTGCCTTATTCCCTCAATCCACGATTTGGCAGGGCGTCCTCTACGTTTTCTGCCGGAGGAGACCCAATCCAGAACCTCCTTGGGTAACCTATCATCTGACGTCCGTTGCCAGAGACAAGAGACCCTCCACTGGCTTCTTGGCGACAGGTGGAAGCTTTTACTTTCGGGGATTCGACAGTTCTTTATGGACAATCATAAGGGAGCAACAGGCATCACCCTAATTTCGGCTGTTGACCTACCTGCATGGTCGATGATGAGCTTCAGGTGACGTCAAGAGCCAAACGAGTTTCCTAAACTTCGGCCATTTTCGGCTTGTTTGCAAAACGAAACTGCCAACACGTTGTTAAACATCAACCATGTAGGTAAGTCAACAGTAGAATGCTGAAGTCCCGAAAGTAAAAGCTTCCACCATGGCCAAGATACTAGCGGAGAGTCTCTTGTCTCTGTCCGTTGCACATAGCCATGCCAGACGCGCTGACTAGGCAATACTCTACTATTTCGATGCGAATTTCTTGCAAGCTGGTGAAATTTCGCGTATGTCACTTGCAACTTGCGGTTGATTGGTGACGGCTTGCGACATGAGCATGACATGGCCCATGCCACAACGCAAATGGTTCGTGTTACATACCTATGAACTCGGTGGTTTTCTTGAGGTGTCCGAGGTTGCCCATGGCGACGCTGCCGGCGGAGTAGCCCTGGAGCTCGGGGAGGAAGTTGGTCATGATCTCGGACTGGAAGTTGGTGCGGATGACGACGCCGTCGACGGAGGGGCCGAAGGCGCTGAGGAAGGCCGGCGGCGAGACGTCGGCCCGCATGAGCTCCTCCAGCGGGACGTCCCGGAGGCAGTCGACGATCTGCTCGTGGTCCGTGTACAGGTTCTCCGGGATCGAGCAGTTCACCTGCTGCGCCAGTCGCACCGCGAAGATCACCGGGTCCTCCACCAGCGCCCACGAACTCAGCGCCGAACCCGAGAGCAGTACCGTCCGGTTGAACAGCCCTGTAACAAACAGCCCGAAATTTCATTATTGGACAAGAAAAATACACAAGAATAGCCTGAATAACTTGACGAAAACAATCAGAAAGGAAATAGAAAGCCAAGGCTAGAGACAAAAAAAAATGCATTTGAAGTTTTCGGGGTGGTTTCAACCCCCCCATAGTGGATCGAGTCAATAGGAGAGGTCGGACAAAATTTGGAACCTATGAACGCTTATAACTCCGTTCATATATAACTTTGAGGTTTTGAAAGTGGTTTTATTGGTTTCCTCGTGAAATTGTCTGCTAGAGACACCCCTTAAACTTTAAAATGTGACGAGATAAATATATAAAAACTTGCAGTTTTAGTCAAGAATTTCATGTCCGACCTCTCTGGTTGACTCGATCCACTGTGCCCCGTTTCGACCAGTCGTCTCTTGGCTGACATAAGGGCGTAACTGCACATTGAGATGAGCCCGGAAAAGCATTGAATTGTATGCTGCCGTGCTAAGGAAAAACGCTGTATGAACATTCGAGAGTTGCTAAATTTCCTCCGATAAAATGATTATTTTTGAGGAAAGATGTGAATATTTTTCCTTGAAATTTTCAGGAACTTTAAATGAAATTGCGAACAGAATTATCTGACAAATTGGAAGAAAACTTTTTACAGATTTTCCGGAAAATTCGTGATTTACTAAAAGAGAGTTGGCAACGCCTGAGGGTTCATACGGCGTATTTCCTTAGCACGGCAGTATGGGAAACAGGATTCATTGCAGAGTGTAGTCACGCCCTTATGTCAGGTAGGTGACGAAGTGGCGTGGCGTGATTTGCGATATGTCGATTGATCTGCCATTTAAACCTATGGAAAAGGATCGATTAACAGGGTGGTCGCAACGAACACCTTGATAATTGATTCTTCACCTTAGCTCCAAATGGGAAAATATCGATAATCGATCATTTACGCATCGCCACTGGGTTCTACCAGGGAATAAGGCTTAATGACATCAATACAAATCGAGCACGAAGTTTCAAAATTAGCCTGCGGATACATGGACAAATGCTCATGTAAATTCGATCCGATTTTTGGTCGCTACCAAAATTAGATGGTAACATGATTCCGAATTAGGAGGCACTACGATATCTCATTGACCTAATGCCATATTTTACGATGTTTCAAGTAGCGGTAGTTTGTAATCAAAAAGCACTCACTGTCAGTATAATTTAAAGGGACTCTACTTGTCCGCAGAGCATATATTCATCTCTCAGTGGGCCCAAGATGGTCGCTCATCTATGGTATTGGTCTATCACTGCCACATTCTCACTGTGCGCCGGCTTAAACTTGGCACGCAGAGAATGTTTACATCTTATCTGTGCGACCGCTTGACGCGGCGGTGAAGGAAAAATTCGCTCTTGAACCAATTGATAGACTCAATCCTCCGTGATGCCATATTCCCGCACATCCGAATTTTGAGACTTCATATGCTGTATTTTTCGTCATAAGCTGAAATTTTTTAAAAGCTTGGAAGGGAAAACTTCCTCCTAGATCCTATAAAATTCATTTCCTGTCAATTTATTTCATTGACTTGACCGCGACTTAAAATTGATACTTAAAGGTGCTATTATTTTAGCAGGGGCGTCATTTGAGGATTGCATAGGGCAATAGCCCCTCCCCCTTGAATTTTAGAGTTGACCTTTCATTCTGGTCAATTTAACCTCTTTTGATCTATTTCAGGGATTTTTTTGCAATATTCAAAGTTTCGCCCTCCTCCAAGCGATATTAATCTTCTCTAAGCAACCACTTTCCCTAAAATTTTCCTGAAATGACTCCGCTGTTTCCCAATTTCGCGTCGAAAGGGATTTGTGCCTGTTTGAACCTGTATGCTTCATACATTCATGTCCATTAATGTGATTCGTCAAGCTCAAGTGACGTGGTCGAACTGGCATGCGATATATCACATCTATTAGGTCAAAAGTCTCGGCAGATTTTGAAGTTTTAGCAAAAAAAAAAAAGAAAAAAAAGGACGATAGCCCCTGCGCATGAGCCTAAAAATCATTCTAAACCCAAAAATCGGCAAAATTCAGAGAAATGAAAGCAGAATAGTGTTTGGAAAAAAAACCTCGCATTCGATTCAGCTATCAATTTCTGTATTGAATGCTACATTTTTTTCCAAACACCATCCTGCTTTCATTTCTCTGAATTTTGCCAATTTTGGGGTTTAGAACGATTTTTTAGGCTCATACGCAGGGGGCTATCGTCCTTTGTTTTGCTAAAATTCAAAATCTGCCGAGATTTTTGACCTAAAAGATGCGATATATCGCATGCCAGTTCGACCACTTCTTTTGAGCTTGACGAATCACCTTGGGTTAAAATAATTTCGTATGAAAATACTAAAAATTTCTGAAATTTTTCGAAGAAAAATAAATTCGGCAGCACGGTCATGAGCTCGGAGCAATGCTCGCACTCGGCCGGCTCGTGCTGTCCGCTCAACTAGTTGTCTTTCTCTCCTTCTCCGAAACACGTGAGAGACGGTCCCGCGTGTATTTTTCCATCTGCCGCCAACAGTTCGTTTATCCGTCCTTAAAGCTCCAGATCGTTTTTCGGGGTGAATTTGCATCATATTGTAGAACTTGTTGCACAACCCCCTCTCTTTTTTTGCCATAATTTCGTAACATTACAGAGAGTTACAGGTGATCTATGTGAACGGTGAAAAATTATCGTGAGAATCAACCGGCTAGAAGTTCGTGAATTCGCGAGTATTTATCTTGGATTTTTAGCGGTGAAAAGGTTTAAATTGAAGTACACCGATCTAATCATTTCTTTTTCAGTGTTTACTATTTATATCATAAAATTTGTCTGATGTGAATGAAAATAAAAGGCCCTAAGCCCAATTTTGTAAAAGTCTATTGACGCTGAAAATAAAAGTTGCAGTGACTGCAGCTCCTGTTGAATATTATTTCTGTAAAGTGATTTATAATTTAGAGACTTTGTTGTGAAAAACTACCATCAAAATGAGTAGTGGTAAAACGGTGGTGGTTCCAAGAGTGGTCAGTAAACCATTGTCTGACAGTTACGTGATTCTTGTTTCTCATACACACCACCCACGGGGCAATTCGTAAGTTTATTTTTCGTTCATGTGATATTTTGCACTTTAAATTTCACGAACGTTAATGCGGTAAATGCATCACTAGATGTAGAGTATCTTATTATTACTGCGGAAGTTTACAAATCATTGATCGGAGTATGGTAATCCATTGAGCTGATTTGAAGAGAATGTCACTGAGCTTCGAAAAAGGGATCTTATTCGACCACAAATAGTGGCACAGTCCGAGCGACCCAATTAATTTGCCTCGTAACATTGATCTGTTGAGGTTGTTGACATAGTAACGAGATAACAGATCAATTAAAACGGAGACAAATCCACGAGGAAAGAAGAGAGAAACATGTCTTGTTACGAACTGCGATTTTATCCGATAGGTATCTTATTCTCATCGTAGAAGCGCTTTAAATGGTTCAGTCTTACAAAGAGTCTCCCGAAAATTGCCCTTTTTTCTAGAGTCCGAGGAATATAAGGTAATGTGGTCAAAATGGACCACATTTTGCAAGAAGGAACTACTATTTCTAGCTCATTTTAGAAACATTAACTTCCCTATACAGATAGATGTTTTTATCTATGACCCATGGATTGTAGTTTCTCATTCCAAAATACAGTCCAAATGAAACCGCATAAAAAAACAACCTTTTATAATTTTTAACTTAAAATCAAAGCTGCTTGTGACGATACAGCGACGCAAAGTTCATCTTTAAAGCAAAAAAGGGGGCATATGGTAACAATAGACGGTGCAATCTTGATATTAGCATAACACTAGAATATAGAACCAGTCGTAAGCTTAAGTTAAAACTTATATCCCGTGTTAATACACTCGTATAAGCTTGTATCTCAGCCATAAGTCGATGGAAATTTAAGCTTTTAGAGAGGGGGCAATAAGAGATCGTTTATTGAGATATCTTTTGGTACGAGTATTCTATGAAAAAAGTTTCTGGGAGGTTCTGTGCCAAAACAACAAATTAAAATCCTTAAAAAACAGTGAATATAAATCGGTTCTTTTTACCTACGTCTCAATCATTGGTTCTCGGACTGTAACATTTGCATCTGTGTCACGACCAAAAAAGCGGGAGATGAGTAAAATGCAAATGCATCCTGTGTGATTTTGAAACGACGATGTTCTTTACGACACACTACATGGGAATGGGAGACGCTTTATTCAGTGAAAATAGAGATGTATTTTAAATTTTGGTAACTCTTCAGAAAAATATTTTAAATCTATGTTTGATTGAACTGTTGCAGTGATCCTCTGGAAGTCCTTTCAACAGTTAAACCGGCTATTTGTTGTAATCGTGGCTGCTGGATCCACGAAAATTTTACGGTATGTTAGTGAACCTGGCACTGGTAATAGTATTGGAAGTAGTAAAAATACGTGTAATAAAGCCCGGTCCGATCAAGTTTGGTTAAAGTTTACTTCTGATCAAAGTTTAATAGGTACTTTAAAAACATGCATACAAAATCTTTTATTTTACTAATTTTGCACGGTGAAAAATGTCCTTCAGAAATCACAATGGCATTCGCACTAGAAATCTATATAGATGCCGCTATAGCTTGAGCAGAACACTGTTAGAGACATAGAACTAGATTGGTTTAAAATTAGTTATAAACCCGTGAATGTATTTTTCCAGAAATTGGGAAAAGACGTGGCGCTTTACAACGACTTTTATCGCAAGAGCCTCAGGCCCCTGCTGAACTCTATTCCAATAAAAGAATCATTCAAACTAGAATCTTGGTTGGTAAGTAAGTTGCTCAAAAGTACTTTATTTAAATTCCATAACGACGGTGCAAGTCGGCAATCACATAACTCGGTTTGCAACGTTGTAGACTTCCTGTCATACTTTATTTTTTAAATGGCAAAACTACTCAACGGCAATGGGCCTGTTGCAAACTTTTGCTAGAGCAAAACTAAGAGTTGTTTCTTACAGATAATGCTTCAAACATCACGATGAGCGCATCGGCAAAGTCTGAAATGCACTCATAACTTCACAATCTGCCTAAGAAATTTGCGGTTTTTTGAGCTTCCCGCTTCGAAAACGATACTACGGTACAGGCGAACATTTTGTTAGAGGAGTCGTTCCATTGGCGGCAATACTCATCATGGCCGACGCCAGTCCGCCAAAACACCTGTGATGGGACGAGATAACATCTGAACAGGATTAAACCAGATAACAATCGGCGTGTTTACGTTTATATTTTCCTCGCCCGCCTTAATTGATCTTTAACTCTCCTCGAATTACTCGCGGAACTGCGCAAGCGTCGGCCATGATGAATATTGCCGACGATGGAGGGACTCATCTAACAAAATTTTCACCTGTGCAGTAGTATCGCTTTTGAAGCGGGAAGCTCAAAATAACGCAAATTTCTTACGCAGATTGTGAATTTATGAGTGCATTTCAGACTTGCCGATGCGCTCATCGTGATTTTTGAGGCATTATCTATAGGAAACAACTCTTCATTCTGCTCTAGCAAAAGTTTGCAACAGGCCCATTCTTTAAAACTGTCATGATTTTTCTTCTCAATGCGAAGAAAATTCTGCAAAAACTTCAAGAAATAATGTCACTTTGTTCTCCTTTAAGAAAATGACGTACAGGCGGAGATTTTCAGACACCGCAAACGAGTTATGTGATTGCCGACTTTCACCGTCGATAAGTTGATTGAATATATTAATGTATTAACTTAACTTTGAACTAAACTAGGGCGTAAAAGTAAACTATTTTTACGCCTTAAAATACAATTTCAAAGACTTAATGTAGTGTCATCGCGGACAATAATTCACGTATGCGAACGTTAATTAACTGTCCTGGGGCAGGATTACACCGATACAATCCGTCTCTCGTTCCTCTGACGTAAGGGCGCTACCTAATTTTGGGTTGGGCCTTACTGTCCATGTAGACTCCCTGCCAAATAAGTTTACGCACTTCTAGACTGCAACGGAAGATAGTCTAACGTGACTTTTTACATGTAAGGTAAATCAAAACGAAGGACGAATCAAAATGGCGGATCTTCTGTCACAGTCTAAAACTGCGGGCACTTATTTGGCGTGGACTCTACTTAATTTCACGCTTCCCAAGGCTGACGTGACGTGTAATAATTCATTACGTCCTCGCGTCAGCAAAGTAACGAACTGATGAACAAAAAAAGTTTCGTTGAGAAAGGAGGTAATGCCCTCTTCAGACAGTTGTAAATAAAATCTTAAACCGCAGTTTGTCCTGTAGTAGAGGAATTTTGTGATTTTTACTCAGCTTTCATGCAGCATGGCAGAGATTCGTAGGGCGTAAAATAAAATAAAATATTCAAATTTATTGCAAACATTGAGTAAAAACAAGCAGTGAACTCCAACACAATGTGTTGATAAGGCGCGTCACTAACTCGCACATATCAACCCCTTTAGTTTTCATTTACAGAGATTTCAAAATAGGCAAGAAGCACAACAAGAGAATTCATACGATCCAACACTGCGAGGTCAACGACGCACTTCGACGAGACCGTGTATTGTGAATGTAGAAAGCCATTCGAACGAGTTTAAGTTTTTTGATCTGCCCCGAGCAAAATCTTATAAGATTCTTAAAGAAAAGTGATACGTAATAATTTAAACGAAGAAAGGAGTTCTGTCGAACTCCTGAATGATAAAACCGATACCAATGAAGGTATTTTGGGGCTGAAAATATGTCTTGATTTTGTTATTTTAAACGTATTTCCATGCAAAGAAGTCCAACCATGTCCATGTTTTATTCATTCATGAATTGAAAGTAAGCAATCTACATCCCGAAAATCTACCGATTTGCTGTAAAATATCGCAGAAACTTGATATACCAGGTCGATATTAAGTAAAAAAACTGATTGACAAAATGCGACTCCCTGTTTGTTTTCACAGGCGTACAAAGAATACAACGCAACGTATGGTGCAGATACAATCGAACACATCACAACAGTCGTTAACGACGAGAAGGAACTTCGCCCGGTAGTTGTTTGGCTTCACGACTACCAACTCTTGCTTGCAGCTAACACTATTCGCGCCGTAAGTTGAAGATATAACAATCCTCTTATTACTTGGCAGACAAGAATAAAGATATTTCTTATCGAATAAAACACAGAGTATAAAACAAGCGGGAAAGTTCTAATACTGTCGTATTAGAAAAGCGCTCAGGTGTTAGTAAATGTATTTAGTGAAGAAAGGAAGTATAAACTCCGTCGACTTGGCTGGGAAATGGAAATAAAACATCAGCTGATAGCAAACAAAGGTTACCAAGGAAACCGTAGACGCGTTTTTTCGTTTCCCGAAAATGATAGCCACCGTTGAGCTCATCAGGCGCGGTTTTTTAGGCTTCTTTTATTTTCAACGATCAATTTCGATAAGAATTACTCTACCGCTAAGGAAATTTCTTATAGACAAACGATCGTAACTACCCGCGCATTACGTTAAGAGCATAAAATACGGTTATCACAGCTTTATTTATTTTAAAACTGGACCCCCCCAAAAAGCCTACAAATCGATGAGCTGGTGCGCCATTTAAACGAATTAGCACTAGTATACTAGTATTCTAGAGGCAAGTCGAAATCAAAAAGCGCTGCCTATCGGCTGACCGCTTAATTGGATGTGCTAACGCAAACAGGTTCTACCTCCAAGGAAGTGTTCAGAAAAAACCTTCCTCCTCAAAGGATGGAATGTATCATAAGCTTGATAAATAGAGAATAGTTTGAGTGAAATATGATCTTCCACACGAGAACCAATGAATTATGGAGTAATGTAGGGCAAAATGTTAAGAGGACATTACGCTGCTTGAAGCAGGTAGAGAATCTGTGATGTTCCCGTACGTATATCTGTTCCAATGCAATCTGGGTTCTAAATTGAAACCCCACGCAATCAGGAGTTTATCGATATGCAACTTCTATCGATTTATTGTTTACTCCTCCACGGGTTTTTTTCTTTTTTGTTTTAAAAAAAAATTGAATTAAGCATGATATATTTGTCATAGCTAGCTGCTGAACGTGGGCTGCCCGTGAAAATTGGACTTGTTCTTTACAAACCGTTTCCAGCTTGGGATGTGTTCAGAATTTGTCCATGGGCCGAGGAGATATTACTAGGAATATTAGGTAAGAGCATTATAACTGATATGCGGATATTTCAAACATTATATGTATATTGAATTTTTAAAAATTCACAGAGTTTAATTTTTTTGTTCTGCTTCGTGAAAACTACAACGATCGGCTATTGTAGAAAAGTCCAGAGCACACTTGTAAGGAGAAATATGTTTTTGGATGCATTGAGATATTACCTGTTTTTGGAGAATCTTGATTTAGGTTGTTATCTGTGAAAACCGGCGGTTCAGATCTCAGGTTTGAGCTTCACAACAGGTTTCATTTTTTTCAAGCCATAAAGCTCTATCGAATTTATTTATCTATTCATTTATTTTTTAAATCATTAACCTCCTTGTGCGAGAAATTAGAATAGAATTTTTTCTATACTGATCCTACCTTTTCAAAAATCACAAAAATTTCCCTCAACTTCAATTGGAAACAAGCTAGCCATGAGACACTCTGTTGAAACTGCCGGCATGAAATGAGCGCAATAAAAATAATAGGTCTTATAAAAACATGAAACACACAGTGGCGTGGCGTGAATTGCGATATATCGATTGTTATGCCATTTAAACCTATCAAAAAGGATCGATAAACAGGGTGTTCGCAGCGAACACCTTAATAATCGATTCCTTACCATAGGTTTAAATGGCATAAAAATCAATACATCGCAATGCACGCCACGCCACTGGAAACACATCGATCAATCCTTGAGGATGCAACCATTTTGACGCGGAGGATCTGTTTTTGCATACCCACTTAGATGAAGGCTAAACGGTCTACGACCAGAAACGAAGCACGATTTATCGCACAATTTATATAAGTCACAGTTACAGGCAATATTTTCAATTCGATAGGAAAGAGTTTTTTTCTTCTTTTTTTCATACATACATTCGAGTCACTTCACAGCGCGCCCGGGCGCTCTGCGACACCTAACCGCCATCCTTGCCTATCGATCCAGAGGTCATCTGGTAAATGGCATCTTTTTTTTTTCATGCCAGACGATATTTCAACGGACTTCTGTGTTATTTTTTAGCGTGCGATGTGGTGGGTGTACAAGCGGAGTCCTACCGCGATAATTTTATCGACAGCTGTCGGCGGCGTTTGGGCTGTCGCGTAGACGTTGCGAAAGGCTTGGTCGAGCATGGTTCACACGCATGCGCAGTCCGTGTCGTTCCTGGAGGAGTCCCGTACGCGGAGGTAGAAGAAATCGCCCGAGACCCGGGTATTGTGTCCATGGCCCATAGGTCGGACCCTTCAGTCAAGCAGATCGTCAGCTACGACACCAAGGACCGGGCCGGCGAGGCGTTGTACAAGTTGCAAGCCTTCGAGGCGTTACTTGCTGAGTACCCTGAACACGTCCATAAAGTGAGTTTCGTCTTCTTAAATTTTATACTTGGATTATTTCTGCATTGAAAAGCTACTAGTTCTGAGTAATTTTAAAAACAACAAGTGGCGATTGATTTTCGGTACATGTAGGTGCTTTGATTCATACGTGAGTCAGGAATAGTAGTTTATTATTCTACCATGCTAAGGAAGAACGCCGTATGAGCCTTTAGTCGTTGCCAAGTTTCCCTCGATAAAAATCGAATTTACTGGGAAAATTGTGAATGTTTTTATCCAAAATTTTCAGAAATTTTGTGCGCAATGTAATCTGAATAATCTGAAAATTTCAAGAACAAATATGCATGAATGCTATCAAAAATCCACGTTTCAACTCTCGAATGTTCATGCGGCCTTCTTCCTTGGCACGGCAGTATTCCAAAGTTTAGTTTGTGTGAATCATTTGTTTCAAAAAGGAACAAGCGCCTTTTCACAAGAGGCATTATTTGTATATATTTTTATGCATTTCAGCGCATCTGGATTTTTGGATCATTGTCAAATGACCACAATGGATAAATAACATTTTTAAGATCGGGATTAATCGAATAGGGTCTTTGATAACGATTCAAAAATTCACCCGCAAGGATCAAATAAGCCTGTCCTCTCTTGAAAATTACTGGTTCATTATCTGACATTCCCTATTAAAACGAGCAAAAATTCGAAACTGAGTAACTGATTCCGCGTAAGTGGTTCGAATAATTTTCACCTTCGGGTCCAAATGCACGGAGGAGGGGAAGTTACATTAACGGCACTACCGCATCTAACATCAAACCAAATGATAAGAATATCAAAGTTTTATAATCTTTTCTTAACAGATTAGAAGTAACACAAAATTACACTAAACCTTAGTAGTTTAAAACTTAATTGAACTAAAATTAAATGGAAAATAAATGGGATGAAAATATTTATACTTATATTTTAGTATTCATTGTAAATTTATTTATAATGAAAATAGATAAAAATTCAATAAAAATCAATAGTCAATAAAATTAGCAAAAACTTACCTAGAATGATAAAAGATAATCACTTTTTCTGCTTAGTAAAATATAGACCATGACCTTTTTCCAATAATGTATCATCTGTAAGGAGGACTGATTTTGTTTGTTATTATTTAGTTTTAGGATAGCTTTCTTCTCTTTAGCCTTAATTATTAGAGAGGCTGGTTGCTTACTCAAGTATAACCCTTGAAATATAATTTAATCCCTCTGTTTTCTGCCAATAGGTTGAATGGGTTCAGGTGGAAGACTATACAAATTTAATCACACCTTGTGAATCATACATACCGCTTGCGAACGCCATTGAGACTCGATTGAAAAAGGACACTGTCAAAATTATCTCGAACATACAGTCGAAACAAGATTTAATAAGCATTTTAAAAAATGCCGATGTGGCTCTCATTGGATCCTCGCTTGCAGACGGTAAATGTTTTTTTAGAACATACTTCTACCTAAAAGACAGTCGTGGATATAATGTGTGGAAAAACTCTCATAAATTGAACAGACGCTGGCCAGCCTTTTAAAGGCACTTTCATTGCCGATTTTGAGTGTTTCATCATAGAGATAAATGAATGGATCCGACTAGAATCAGCCTGATTGCATTTCACGTTACCCAATGTTCTCTTTGTGCTTTAGTTTCTACAATAGAAAAATGAACTACTGGACGCATTAAAACTTTCCGTGAATTTACCCTAAATTATGAAGGACATACCTATACTAACGCAATTTAAAAGTCCAAGGTTACTTGGTTTTCTATTTAATATGAAATTATCAGAGAATATTAGGCAACGTCTAATGCAGGTAGCAGTAGCGTGGCGTGAATTGCGATGTATCGATTGTTATGCCATTTAAACCTATGGTAAAGAATCGATTATAAAGGCGTTCGCTGCGAACACCTTGTTTATCGATCCTATTCCATAGGTTTAAATGGCATGACAATCGATATATTGCAAATCACGCCACGCCACTGGCAGGTAGGGCGATTCCAGTTAAAGCCGTCTAAGTACTGCCCTGCTAAGGTAGTACGGCATCTAAATGTTTAGGTGTTACAAAATTTTGCCCCATAAAATAATAACTTTTAGGGAAAGTTATGAACATTTCAATTGAACATTTTCAAAAACTCCGGATTAAATTATCTGAGAAGTTGAAGGAAATACATTTCATAAAATTTCGCATTTCATCAGAAGAAAACCCTTGAAGCACCACGAACAGAAAAAGGCTAACGGGACCAACAAAGCATGGAAACAGAGCTAGGGAGAGGACGCGCGCCGACGACGGCGCAGAGATACAACTATTCATGTTCAATTGATGTATGTGTTGCATCTTCAAAATTGAAGGCGCGATGGCGAGAGTCGTGAACTCGCAATGCTCCGCTCTTTGCCGCCCAAATTGAGTGTGGCTTCGATTCGCGAGCAGTACTGAAAAAGAGACCCGATTACGTTTCTCCTACCTCCGGGTGTGCTGACGCTCAATTTTTTCTTTTTTTACTTGATGTCAGATTTTTTTAGGAGTTATTTGTAGACCTGTATCTGAAGCTTGTATGCACCAGCCTCATACAACAAGGCCACGCGATTTTAGCAAGTCTCGGGTTAATTTGACCCGGCTAGGGTATCTAAAGGTTTCTGAGGCTCCTCTTCTCAATCCAATTCTTTTATCTAACAAGAATTATTAATCAATAATTCTGCCTCGATTTTTTTGAAAGGCTAGCTTCGGAAAAGTATTTAGACACATTGATTTTTCTCGTTTTCATTCATTTCTAGAGGTGGGTCAAGGATAGAAATTTCGGGACGTTGCTTAGCTATTACGTTCCTTTTTTAAATTGGACCTGTCAATGTAGAAGACTCATTCGTTGTTTTCAGAACCCTGTTTGGTAGCGAAAGCGTTTGTCGCTTCTCAGATTGAGAATCCAACTGGCGTGCTGGTGTTGTCAAATTTCTCTACAGCTGCTGAAACCATGAAAGAGGCTCTCCGCTGTAATCCATGCCACATTAAAGAGACAGCAGAGATCCTACACAAGTAAGGTTTCAAATTATATTGATTTTTAAGGACAAATAATTTTGATTCCCGCGAAAGAGTCTTGATTAAAATTACCTCATGCGTTACTTTAATGAATAATATTTCACGTTTTATTGGATTAAGAAAACATTATGCTACAGAAATTAATTTTTCAGAATTTCTCAGAGTCCATGCGGTTTCTAAAACCCAAAAAAACAAAAAAATGTGTCGTCTTGGCGAGGGTTCACTGCTATTGGAATTCCGGAACTTTAGAGATTTTCCGGAATTTTCCTCAGAACTTTTAAAATTCCCGGAACGTTCCGGATCTATAGCATTTTCCGGAATTTTCTCGGAATTTAAGAAAAAATCTAAAAGGAATCGTGGAACTTTTGATAGCCATGAAGTGGGAGAAAATGCGGAACAAAAAGTTTCCGAATCCCGGAACTTTTGAGGGACATGGAATGGGAGCACTGATCGAATGAATATTTTGTGGCGTTTCTTAGAAAGTTTCATAAAGTTAATTTTTGATATTTTATTGTTTTATTTTGTTGTATTCAGAGCACTGACAATGCCGGAGGATGAGCGGTTAGTGAGGATGAACTTTTTGAAACGGCGAGAAAAGCTCAATGAACTGTTCGCTTGGGCACGATCCTTCATCTCCGAACTGGAACAATATGACGGAGTAAGATCGTCCTTTGAGCCAGTCACGTTGCTAGAGATCGATAGTTATATGCGCAGGTAAGTTCAAATCTTTTCATCTGATTATAAAGTTTACAAGATTCCAGACGTGAAGAGAAAACGTGCTGTGACATCTTATTATAAATTTCAAACTTTTTACAGAAAGTCTTTCATAAAATGCAAACAAGAATTTTGGCTCGTTATGCTACTTTCTCTTCCCTTTCTTCTTACCTTCTTTACCCATATATTCTAGCGTATTTTAGAAGTAAAGTTCTTGCCATTGGCTCCCCTATGCATATAGGTGCTTTTATGTGCAAGCCTAAATTAGTAGTTCCTTGTTAAAAAATAAAGTCGTGATAGCGGAAGTTTAGCTAGGGCGTCGCTGCTAAAAATATCAGTTGTTTGTAGTAAAAATCAAAGAGAGAGAGAATCATTTGTCAGAGAGAAACGTATTATTTACCAAATTTGAAAATTAGGTTTATTACGTATGAGATGTAGTTACGTAGGGATAAATTAATATTTCTAGCTCACGTGTACGGCTGAAACTTTCCAATTTTGCTTCAAAAGTATGTGTTTGAAGAGTGGTATACATTTTATAATGGTTTCAGCTACGTTGGTAACTGTCAAAAATTAGCCGTGCTCCTTGACTTCGATGGAACTTTAGCACCACTTTGCCCACACCCAGATTTGTCGAAGATGCCTGCTCAAACGAAGGATGTCTTAGAAAAATTATCTAAAATGCCGGAAGTTTTCATCGCCATGATTTCAGGAAGGAACGTAAATAATTTGAAGGAAATGGTAAGTTGACTACACGTTCAGATTTGTGGATGAAACTATGGATGATTCGATGAACCTTGAAAAAGGTAACATGGTAGCATGGATGCATTAATTACATAGCCTAAAGCTTGGAACACGAGAAAGAAAAACTTAAAAACATGGGTAAACAAAGCTAAACTGGGTAAAAAAAAAAAAAAAAAAAAAAAAAAAATAAAAAAAATTGATAGGAAGAACATTTCGAGACATCATAGGCACCCTTTCTTTCATCCCATGATCTACAAACCACTCCTAAAACTATAACTTTTATTTTTCGATCAAATATCTTACTTTTCATCTGTTTTTATCCGTAACGAAGAATTATCTAATTTTTTTAGAAAATTTCAAAGATCCTACTCGTGCCTTCTAAGAATTTAAATAGAAAGAAAATGAGTGTATTCGATTTCAGTTTAAATTCAAGAGATTGAATGTTTAAACACTATCAGATAGTTAACAAATAATGATTTCTGCAAAGAATTGGGTTAAAAAAGAATGCAATGCAAAAAGGAAACAAGTTGGTTTTTGCAATCGCTACCGATAGCAATATTCGTCATGGGAACTTTTGCTTCTGGGATATGAAAATGTTAAGGTACAGTCCGTTTGTAGTATCTTCAGAATTGAAGGGGCTATGTAATTTTGTGTCGACATCTCTTTTTCAACATTTTTAATTTTTTTTCTTTGCATACATGAAAGCTGTTATTTACCAATTATTTATTTTCGTTGGATTATGTATGATTTTCGGAAGTTAACGCATTTAACTTTCAGTTTCGTTTTTTCGGCGTAAAGTATGATATTTTTACTCTACGCATATGCCCGAATACGCATCATAAGAGACCTATGTGCTTCCTAAGTTGCCATTTTTTTCATTCAAATAGATGTAACTGAAATTTTAGATGTGTACTGCCTATACTACTTTCATGGCATTGCTTTATTTATTTATTTATTTATTTACTTTTTGCGTAGGTATAAATTGTTATTTTTTGCTGAATTTTGGAGAAAATATTGCTTTAAGAACGTGGAATGTAAATGAATTTTATTGAAAAAAGAAAATACCATCATTAATTTGGGCGAACAGAGAAAATATACATCAATATTTGTGTCAACATCTCCCTGATTATATAAAGGATGAATATATTAGTATTTCTGTATCAAAAAACTTAGCTTTGTCTTCAGAGATACACTGATTCTAGTCCCGGTCAATTTGTTTTATTGAAAAAACAAAAAAACAAAAAATAAATAAAAAAAAAAAAACAACTGAAATGTTAGACATACTATTTTCATGTCTTTCTATTTGTATCAATAGGTACTTTTTGCTTAACTTACGAACGTTGAATGCAAATTAACTTTATTGAAAAAAGAAAATAACGTCATTAATTTGGGGGAACATGTGGCTGATTATAAGAAGGAGGTATATTCCAGTATTTTAGTTTAACATATTAACTCACAAGAAAATGTTCGTACATTTATCATCTAGTATTAATTATTTTTTGATGATTAGTCTAAAACATTCAATACAACCATTAAAAAGTAATACACCCATCATCGGGTATCGAACTCCCGATCGCCTGTTGCCCGCACCTAATCAAAAATACGAGGCGGTTTAGTCAACTAGGCTATAACGGATCAGCGTGAGCGAGAGTAAAAATAGCATACAAAAGACTCGGGCAATGGGCGGGACTTATCGCAAGAGATTGTTGCTTTTGGGATATGAGAGAAATGAGCTAAGCGCATTGCTGTAGGAGCCATGGTTCACACTGTTTTCATGTCTCGCAGGGTTCATCTCAGCATGCATTTGCCATCGCGGCAGTAAGCTGAGGCGATATTTGTTTATCCATGAATTAAATCAATCAATCGAGCTCTGATATTGACTTCTTTGTCCGTAACGAGTCCTCCAGAACAATTTTCCACCTTGTACGATGGTTATTATTTCTTTGCTTCTATTTTTCAAATTTGAGGTGGGATAATGGCGGCTTCTCAAGAGCACCGAGGTAGGCGATCTTTTGCACCAACGAACAGAAAACTGATGGCGAAAAATAACCAATCAGAACCTCCCAAAAAAAAGAATTTGCCCAAAATCGGAACTTCGTGGTTCTGCGCAGATTTACCAGTCAGACACGACATCTCAAGGTGGAAGAAAACTCGCTGAAAGCGAATTTTAGAAATCAACACAACTTGACGTAGAGACATGATTGGCTAAAAAATACAACGGTTTTGGATACATCGGAAAATCAACCAAAAATCGAAGACTGGGCGAAACGCTCAAGGTCGCAGAGGCATAGGGAATCCCATTGCGATAGCAACGGAACGATTGTAATATCATGGGGAACTCCGTTCCCATGACAACAACATAAATCGAAATATGTGGACTTTTTATTAATCCTTGTCATCCTTGGTACCAGATTTAGGATACTCTAAGTGTATCAAAACGATAAGAGTTGCAGAATTTGCGGATACTAATTCCCTGGTAACGTCCTTATACTTCTCGAATCCTCGAGAAAGCCCATCCATCTTTCAGTGACTGTCGGTCCATCCGAATATTTCAATTCTACTGATTGTACATTTGACAGGTTGGAATAGAAGGGATAACATATGCAGGGAACCATGGTATGGAAATCCTGCATTCTGATGGAACCAAGTTTGTTTACAAGATACCGGAAGATTTTATAAAACGTGCAGAAGAACTTTTCAAGGGCATCGAAGCAAAGGTAAATTTTTCAGAAATTTTCGATTCTAGCATGTGGAGTAGAGAGCGATTGGGAAGAAAATTCACTCCAAAACGTTTAGGTAAAAAAAAGAAAAGAAACAAAATTTAGCGTGAGTTACTGCATAAAAAATTAAATCGTCTATAAAGACGTGTGCACGTCGCACATATTCAAACGACTGCATACGGTTCAACCAAATACCCAAAAAGGGCGATCTAAAAGTCCCGCGCAACCTCTATAGCCCCTAGGGTTCTTGCCCCTTTTCAGGGTGATCTAATTTAATGGGCCACGCTAGTAACAGAATCGTGTTTTTATGCTTGCTTCTTGTAGATTAGCTAAAAATAATAAGATTTGTCCAAACAGCAACTTTCTACGTTGAATATTAACCGAGATATCGTCCTTTGAAAAGTCGTGTTTTTGACGTCATCCACCGCGATTATGAATAACATGGTATGCACTAACGCGGTGGATGACGTCATAAATTGAGTTTTTCAAGGCGCGATATCTCGGTTATTATTCAACGTAGAAAGTTGCTGTTTGGATGGATCGTATTATTTTTACTTGATCTGCAAGAATAAAGCATCAAAACACAATTCTGTGATCAGCACAACTGACTCATTTTTGGAAGGTCTCAAAAGTCGTTTCTTTTGATCCTTTGATCATAAAATTTCAAGTCTCTATCTTCATTTTTTCAAATAATATAATGCGCGGCGCTCGTGGTGCGGACTCTAGGATCACCCTGTACATTGTCATTAAATGGAGATGTTGCATGTGAGAGGAATTTGTGATTTGACTGTTGATTCTTATGTAAAAGTTCGCGAGAAACACGAAGCGACCACTGGTTTTCTCTGAAATCAACTCCCAAGCTCAAAAAAAGCTCTCAAATTGAGGCATAAATGGAGGGGATATCCCACGCTATCCTGAGAGTCCACCTCTACATCAAAACAAACTCTCCATGCATAGATAGGGAGCAAATACATTGACAGGGCTGCCACTTTATTTGGGGACTCTAAGACTGAAAACACGGCATCCCTGCTAATGTATTCGCACCCTATCTTTGGCATGGAGAGTTTGTCTTGATGTAGAGGTGGACTCTCAGGATAGCGTGGGATATCCCCTCCATTTATGCCTCAAGTTGAGAGCTTTTTTTGAGCTTGGCAGATGATTTCAGAGAAAACCAGTGGCACCATCGTGTTTCTCGCAAACTTTTACATAAGAATCAATAGTCAAATCGCAAATTCCTCACACACGCAACATCTCCATTTAATGAAAATGTACAGGGTGATCCTAGAGTCCGCACCACGAGCGCCACGCATTATATTATTTGAAAAAATGAAGATAGAGACTTGAAATTTTATGATCAAAGGATCAAAAGAAACGACTTTTGGGACCTCCCAAAAATGGGTCAGTTGCGCTGGTCACAGAATTGTGTTTTGATGCTTTATTCTTGCAGATCGAGTAAAAATAATACGATCCGTCCAAACAGCAACTTTCTACGTTGAAAAATAACCGAGATATCGCGCCTTGAAAAACTCGATTTATGACGTCATCCACCGTAGTACAGACGTAGTACATAAAATGTTATTCACTGTCGCGGTGGAGGACGTCAAAAACACGACTTTTCAAAGGACGATATCTCGGTTAATATTCAACTTAGATAGTTGCTGTTGGGACAAATCTTATTATCCTATATATTAAAATGCAAAGTTCCGAATCTTTGGGCGTTAACTTTGAGAGAACCACCGGACCGATTTGCCTGATCTTTTTTTAAAATGAAAGCCCCTGAGCTGTAGATTTGCAGGCTGTAATTTTAACAGTCAAATCGCAAATTCCTCACACATGCAACATATCCATTCGCGTTCTATTGCAGCTATGTCGTGACGGTGCGTGGCTGGAGCGGAAGGGCTCCCTGATGACGTACCACTACCGGAGCACGCCGGCGGAGCTGCGGCCGGCCCTCATCGAGGAGACAATGGCGTTGATCAAAAAAGCCGGGTTCCGGGGCAACATGGCCCATTGCTCCATCGAGGCCAAACCCCCCGTCCAGTGGAACAAGGGCCGGGCCGCCGTCCACATCCTCTGCAAAGAATTCGGCCACGATTGGACCGACCGCATCCGGGTCGTCTTCGCTGGGGATGATACTACCGACGAGGACGCCATGGAGGTAAATTAATAACTTCATGTTAAAACCAAAGATTATATGGATTGCATTTTGCAAAAAGGAACCAGTAGCATTGCAATGATGCTAAGATTGTGCAACTTCATCTTCTGCAATTAAATGCGGAAATCGTGAAAAACTATGAAATTCAGATGGTAATTTTTGTCTTAAATTTACAGTTTTGAGCGAGTAAAGTAGAAACTATTATTGGATAATCGGGTTTTTCCTCCAAGACAAAAGAAGTTGCACGATCTTAGCAACATTGCAATGCTAGTGGTTCCTTTTTGCAAAATGGAATCCATATGGACCGCGTTCAGTGGAAAGGAACCAAGCCACATTAGTTATTGCCACATTTAAATGGGCGATTTAATTTTTTACAATAGAACGTCCTTGCGAATTCCTTTGAAAATTCACTAAAATTTGCTCAAAAATCCGCACAAGTGTTTCAATGTAAAAAATGAATTAATTAATAACAAATGCGTGTCACAGTTTGCAGTGTGGCAGACCTCCTGCTATACTTCATTCTCTGCATGGAAAACCACTGAACGTCATTTCTTGAACATTTTGGTCATTTTTCTTCTCCATTTGAAGAATATTCTGTAAAAATTTCAAGCCATGATGTTGGTTAGGTCTCCTCTTGAAAAATAAAATAGGGGCGAGGATTTTGAAATACCGCAACCGAGATACGTATTTTTGCAGTTGCACCGTCGATATTCTAGAGACCTCGTCGGAAAGACCCACATGCATTATCAAATCCCGAAACTATTCCGATCAAAGCAGGCCATTTGATGATTGTTGGTCATAATGCAACATTCTACTTTGATCAAAATTTGGCGACCTAACAAATTACACGCTATACCATAAAATCATTAGAGTGACGCGTATAACGCATAACGCTTGGGGCGCGAAGCGCAAAGGGAGGTTGGGCCGCGTAGCGGCCACGGGGCGTACCTCTTCGTTTAAAATGACACAAAATGAGTACCACTGTTCTTCATTTTTTGCGGCAAAGAACATTCCTGCCAAGTTTCATCTGATAAAAAAAAAAGTTCTGTCATTCATTATTTTTTTCCGCGAGGAACATTTCTGCCAAGTTTTTATCTGAAAATAATGCGATATAACGTTTTAAGGAGTGATAAATTCCACACATTTCCTCTTCTTTTGGTCTGATATCACTAATAATCTGACTGTAGAGTCGTCTAACATTGTGCCAACTCCACATATAAAAACCATGAATTAACTCTGATTTTTGGATCGACAGGTGCTAAAGGGAATGGCTGCAACTTTCAGGATAGCTCCACCAACGATTACAAAAAGTTGGGCAGAACGCCGTGTGCCAGACACTCTCGCTATTCAGACATTATTGAAATGGATCGAGAGACACTACCGAACTTGAGAAGAGTTGTAAAAACTTGGTGTTCTAGATGCATAAAAAGTTGCAGCAGTGAGGTTTGCAGGCGCTTTGAAGCGGTCTCCGCACACATTGATCGTATTTTCCAACCCTGTTTCCAGAATCCAGAGCTTTCATCATACAATTAAAAGGAAAACACGCTTGACCAACTGGTCAATTTTGGTCAGGTCTCCTGATGTAGAGACTTCAAATGAGTGCATTTATGTTGAAAGAAACTGTGTGCAGATAGATCAAATCCAATAGAATTATGAAGCACGCGAATTCTATGCTCGGTTTCTATTGATTTAATTCATTTGTGAATCGTTATACGTTTTGCATAAATACATTTACGTCCAAATGCGTGGTGTAAAGCGATTACTACATTAAAGTGATTAAATTACATCTGACTTGTAAATAGTATCAGCGGCAGTCTACCAAAAAAAGATACATTTATTTATTTACTTATTCATTCTTTTTTTTGTAGTCTTTCATTAGGTGTTTAAAAATGAGAAAATGTTTATTATTTCAAAAATTCAGTTATATGGAATTTTTTGGAAGTTTAGTTGTTAATGCGTAGATGTTGTTAATGTTGTACATTCGATGTGTATATTTCGTTTGAATGAGATACTTGAAAAAATCAATCGAATGTCTTTAACTGAGGTACTTAAATATTTTGTTATCTTTCCAGGTGAAAACCATTAAACCTAACTATTTTCTCACCCGATTGGATGTTTTTTAATTTCTGCTCTCTAAATGTATTGCAACAAATTACAGTTGCAGATGCCATGGATTCTACTTAAACATGAAAGTAATTGGGCTTAGGAAAAATTGAATAAGTAGAATAGGACGGATAGAGCAAGAGCATGTTTAGGAGCATCAATAACAATCATGATGAAAGATCATAATAAAAAAAAGTGTATATCCCGTGACAAAATTGCATTCTAGAGGTGTATAAAGAACATCATCTTAGATTTAAAGAGTATAGCTAATTCCACAAAATCTGCCAAAGTAGTTCCCGCGCGGTTCTAGCATGCTACACCATAATGATTGAAATTAATAGGTCGATTGGTTAGGTTAGGTTCTCAGGTCCTCCTTTAAGCCCATTTTCTTTCATGGCATAAGCCTAAGCGGCACTAAATAGTACTCTGTTCTTTTGTGACAGATTACCAAAACAGCACAGGAATTGTCTCATCCACTAATTCTTCCCATGATATATTCAAAATTGTTCTTTGTGAACGTTTCCTGGTTGGCAAAACGTTATCTACTTATTTAAAATCATCAAACAAATCTTAAATCAAAGAGAAAATCAAGACAGAAGTTGCGTGTACTCCGAGTAAAAAAAAAAAATAAAAAATAAAAATAACTGGAGAAGCCACGTAAATCCTGTCAATCGAAACCTTCGCTTTTAAGAGATAGTGAAATTATGGCTCCGGAATGTCCCAAAGTTTTTGCGTTCCATTTCACAAGCATATTACGATGCTAAATTAATCTGTATTCCGGATAATTTTGAACTTCGGCGATACTTTATTCCTCCAGTGAAACTCCCTTATTCACCGGTAAAGCACCCTAATAAGAGCCCAACCGAACAGCGAATCGACATTTAATAAAATACCGTGTTAAGGGTCGTCAATTATTTATGAGTATCCGTAGCATGTGTAAGCTCGATTTGAAACTATCACTCGTAAACGCGGACGAGTCACTCTCTGTAGGACTCGCTCGCCCGTGCGACCCTCCCGAACTTTCCGATAAAGTTGAAAAGTCAACGATCTTGAGTGAGAGTTTCGGAGGAAATAAATGCGCGGCTTTCCTCCAATTTGCTCGCGAGTTGAGAACTTCTGCCGAGTCCCTTCTTGACGTGACAACTTATCCGAGGTAATCGTTTATCGTTGTGTCGGGGAAGCGCGAGTTCATTGATAGGAGACCTTTACGACGGCACGTGGCTATAGAGAGTACTAGGGGGCTACGCCCCCTGGCCGCTACGCACTGGCCGCTAACCACCTGGCCGCTAACCACACAACGAAAATACTGGGAATCAACTTCTAAAAATAAATTAAAATAAATTATGTATTACAACGTATCTTCCATTATTTTTAATATCTAACGCTGTTCAGCCCAGCATGTTCCGAGAACTTCTAAACAGGATATAAGTTTTTTATAATGAACCGATTACAATTCGATATAGAGGATAAAGATCGGCCGAATTTCAAGTGAAAATGTCCAAAAGCCACGATTCAATTCAACACCTCATTTCGCTGTACAAACTTTTAAAACACTCCTACATAACGTGCTTTTTTACGGATGATTGGACAGGTTCAACCAGTATCAGCCTCCTCCATCAGACGTCGCCTAATTTATCTCTCAAGTTTTAATTTTCAAACAAAAAACGAAGCAACACTGAAGTTTGAAATTTTGAGAGTACGTTCTTCATAATCTAAAGGAAATTTACAGAAAATTGAAAGGCGATAAGTACAGACCAATTCATTGGGACGCAAACGCAGACTTTTGCAATGAAGAACCACTTAACCTCATTTTTGATGCGAAATACGAGTACCATTAGTCATTAGTATCCCTTTACAGATATGTGCTTTGAGAAATGAGCCAGAAATAATGGCTCCTAATTTTAAAATTAGGTCCAAGGACACTAATTAACTCCAAGGATAGAGATTGCATCTTTCGTGCAATTACATAAGTAGAAAGGAGAAGATTTTCAGATCAATCTCTCTACAGCAATCAACAGCCCGATGACGGATTGACGCGCTAGGAGCATAATTGTGCGGAAACGCAACCGAAGCGCCTTCAATTTTTCGCACGCAACCCGGCCATCCTCAGAGCACGAATAGTTGTATTCAGCAGCTGGCATCTGCGTCGCGTCGACAACCATTCGATATTTTAGTCGAGCATTGCTTGCTCAAATGAGCATTTTCGTTCACGATCCGTGATTATTCCTTTCTTTAAGCTTACTGCTTAAATTTAAGTTTTAATTAGCATTTAGGTTTCGAAATTGTTGGCTTACAATGCAACACTACTCCCATGATCTACACAAAACTGAACCGAACTGCTTGCAAGTCAATTTCTGGTATACTACAGAATATGTTACGTCAAAAACTTACGTTCCGATTTTTTTTTTCCATTCAACTTTTTCAAAATAGTTTTCCTTAAATGTGACCTTCCGCGCGGTATGGAACCTTCATTTACGGAGAAAAATGTGCATTGGGAGGTTTTCAAGGTGTTGGTCAGATTTCGCGAGATTTTGACGAAACAATTATCTTGTACTTTGAAGAATGAATTGCGATTAGTTTATATCACTTAAAACCAAGAGATGACAAACGTTATATTACAATGTAGATTTGCCTCCTGAGCGTGGCAGTTTAAAATTTCAAGGAGCTTTTTCTCGAAACTGCGTTTTTTGAACTGAAAATTTAAAACCCCAAAAACTTCGGGCCGGTTTAGAATTTTTTGCTAGTATAATCAAGGAATACTACTCTTTGTCCCGATACGATTACTGACTCGATCTCAAGTTTTTGTTGCTTAAAGTTCCTTTCCATGTGGATAGTCCCAAGTATTTGCTCTCGTGCACTAAGGTCTCATCTTCCACTACTCTTAGGAGAAAAACGTTTGGTTGCAGGGGCTGACTTTCGGTTTTTATTGATTATCCAACTTTCCCATTTCAGGAAACTGAAGTTCTAGTTCACGGGAATCGAATTTCGGTAAGATATTAATGATGACCGGAAATGACATTCCGACCGATGCATCGACAAACGGGCTGATCATGACGAAAATTACAGAAAAAACTAACTGCGCGACCTTGAAATATTGACAAAAATACTGATAGTGTGATCACGACTCGCACTTAAAAGGGCTTGACTACAAACGCAGAGTCTTAAAATACTTGTCTTTGTTTGGATTTGGTGCAAAAGCGTGGTGTAATGTGCCCTCATCGTCGATACAATTCGCCTCAAATCCACTTCCGGTTCTCCCGGTTGTTTCCGGTTTTTACCTTCATTTCCGCACCTCGGAGCTTCGTTTCCAATTCGGCTCTAATCCCGTCGCACGGTGGCAATTCTATAATACCCATCAGCCATTCGGGTGAGTTTTGCTCTACAAAATGTTGACGAAGTAGTTCCTTCATTATTTTATAAACTACATTAGATTTAATCTTAGTTCCGCCCGAGGAGATTGTGTGCGACCTTCTTCTGGGTACTTGTGGTTTTCCGGTGGTTTTGTAACGGAGTAAGTAAGAAGTATTTGGCGAAATCACATTGGAGGAAGGCAGAGGCACATAAAATTCAAAATGATCGTTTTGAAGCCATTGCTTATGATGAAAGATGCTTAGGAGAAAACCGAAATTGCAATAAATGAAAACTTAATCCGACGTAAACAACATCTTCATCCAGATAGAGGGAACAAATTAGTCAGTCTCTGTTTCGCATTACACGAGTGATCAACGACTCATTCTATTTTGTTTCATTTATGTTTTTTTTTTTTTTTTTTTGGGGGGGGGGGCTCATACTTTTAATTTTGCCTGTTAAAAATGATTTTGTAAAACTTCAAAACATACCGGCATCCTTTTTTTGCAACCTATCCTGGATTAGATTGTTCTTTATTGGTAATGTTGGGTTGATTGAGTTTTCCATTCGAAGTAAGTTAAACATTTAAGTGACATCTCCTGAAGGGATGGTAGTACGTTTTCAGCAAAAAGAAAAAAAGAAGGGAAAACCCGGTCAAAATTCCTTCAATTGCTTCAAAAAAGTTCAAGGTTCAAAGGAAAACTTCGTTTTCTCCTCGGAAAAAATATAAAAGGAAATTTTGCACCGTGAAGCACAGCTGCGTTGACGATGGAGCCAATCCACAAGTAATATCATTATGTGAACAGATTTATTGGTTGAAATAAATATTCTGCTTCGACCGACTGTGTCGGATCTGTGTTTTGGCGAATAAAACACATAAATTATAAGCAATAATCGCATTCGCCGCCACACTAATTTTCCAAGTCATCGGCTGTGTTTTTTTAGTGCTTTGAGCAGAGAGAATTTATTATTTTGCTCATCCATGATGCTTCTTATCTCGATTCATCTTCATTCACGATCTCTTATTTACAATAGGCCACACATAGTTTAGACGAAAAATGCTATTTGTTGATTTGTCAGCTCAGAGAGCGCAAGTAGGTTGATTACTACTGCATGTCGTGTATGTTGCCTATGCATTACTTAAAGATAATCCTCTTATCGATTATCCTTTTATCTTTATTGGAATAAAATTTAAACTGAATCGAATATCTATGATACAGGCTAAGGCTGGGTGCTAAATGGCATCACCAACATTTTGGTAGAGTGCCAGTCCTACGATTGCAGGGCTGGACCCTAATCAGGGCAGGGCTGGTACCTATCCAAAAGCTTGATGATATAATTTACCTACCTGGACTGAGACACTGAATAGTTTTTGCGGTGTGTAACTCATCTTATTCATCATTTCAATTCGGCATCTAGTGCCCAAAATGAATCTAAATAAACAATCAAAAGCCAAATAAACAGTGGGTTGGCAATTTTAGATGTGGTTGTCATTGCTGCCAGCATGGAGACCAAATGTTGTAGGCGCACCGACGCAAGGAGGAAATTTCGTTTAGTTGTAACGAAGGTTGGCAGTGAGTTAAAAACTTCAATCATATCTACTCGCAAAAATTCGTCTATACTGCTGTGATACGGAAAAACGCCGTATGAACATTCGAGAGTCGCCAAAGTTCCTTCGATAAAATGTTTATATTTGAGGAAAGTTATGAATGCTTTTCTGATTAATTTTCAAAAACGTTGGATAAAATTGCAAACAAAATTATCTGACAAATATATAAAAATTTCCCGGAAATTCGTGATCTACCAAAGGAAATTTGGCAACGCCTAAAGGTTCATACAGCGTTCTTCCTTAGCGCGGCAGGATAGCCAAGATACCAGTGGAGGGCCTCTTTCTGACTGGTTGACTTACCGGAGACGACGGCCGGGGAGATCATGAGGAAGTTGATGCAAGCGGCGCCAGTGCCGTGACCGACGAGGGTGACGCTCGTGGGGTCGCCGCCGAAGAGCCCGATGTTCTGCCGCACCCAGTCCAGCGCCGCCACCTGGTCCATGAGCCCGTAATTCGCCACGCGGGCGTTCACGTGCGGCGCCACGTTTGCATTCAGAAACCCTGAAACAAAAAAACACACATTCCCCACTTTAAATTCTTCATAATTACTACCAAGTCCACAGGCTTAACCTCGGCAAGCACTTCGCTTGCTCATACACTGAAACAAAAGTATGGCGATTTTTGCGAAAAGTATCGTAAAATCTGGCATTAGTCTATTTGGATTGCATTTTGCAAAAAGGAACCACTAGCATTGCAATGATGCTAAGATTGTGCAACTTCATCTTTTGCAATAAAATTGCGGAAATCGTGAAAAACTATGAAATTTAGATGGTAATTTTTGTCTTAAATTTACAATTTTTAGCGAGTAAAATAGAAACTATTAATGGATAATCGAGTTCTTCCTCCAAGACAAAAGAAGTTGCACAATCTTAGCAACACTGCAATGCTAGTGGTTCCTCTTTGCAAAATGCAATCCATTTATAGTATTTAACGCAGTAATACTGTAGGGTTGTTCACCGGACATCAGGTACACCGATGAAAAAGTGAAATTGATTTAATATTCTGAATGTAAAAAAAGTGTGCGAGAGCTCATGAAATGCTGAATTACCCGCCACAGCAGTTAGTTTTACATATCTTGGCTTTGCTAAAGTAACTACTGTAGCGGGTAATTCAGCATTTTATCGGTTCCTGCACGCTACTTTTACATCTAGAATGTTAAATTAACTTCAATTTTTTTCGGTGTGGCATTTGTACTGTATACAAGATGACGGAAGAAAGATTTTTAAAGAATATACTGGATTGGGGTGCTTCGAGAAGGATACGAAGGGGGGGGGGGCTAGTGAAAGGATGGCGACACGGGGCTTAAGAGAGAGTTTAAACCCCATGTCGCAATCCTTTCGAAGGGCGTCCTTTTCGTCTGCTTCCCCAACCCAATCCAACATACTCTTCAAAAGCTTTTCTTCCATCGTCATCTTAGGAAGACTACACCAGCGAGCCAATTATTGAAAGTGATAGACAAAGGTAAAGACAACGAAGACAACATGGATATGGAGGGATCCTGTTGGCGGAAGCGAGTGGTTGCAATGGATAAAAGTGGTAGGTAATAGACTAACTAACAGAAACCTATACGAGAAACCTGACAGTTAGTCCATAATTTTCTCCCTTAGTCTATAAGAGCCACCCATTTCAACCAATAGGATTGCTCCATACTCCCTATGTATTCTTTGTTTATCGCTTTGTCTATCAATTTCAATAATCAGATCGCTGATTAGCTGTCAGGTTATGGCATCGGATACGATCACAAACACACACACATAGATCAAAAAATCCCCCAAACATTTTTAGCTGCATTAATGGATGCATCCACGTACAACGACTTGAATTGCTCAATGTGCAGACCACTGGCGGCACGGGCACAAGAGAGAGATTTTTCGACGTTTCCAACAAAAAATAGCTGATAACCCTTTTGTCCTCTCCTAGGCACGCAACTGACGGCTTTGTTCCCGCGACGTGGATACGCGTGGGGCCTAATAGGGCGAGAAGCGACTCAACATCGAGGCTCCTCAATTCGACGCATTTACGTTAAAAGGAACTATATCCATTCTGACATGAACTTCGAGATTCATAAAAATACATGCTCGACAGGGCTCATGTCAAAATGGATATTGTTCCTTTGGATTAGAATACGTCCAATTTTTTCGGCGTTAGGACTGAGCGCGGGGCTTTTATTGGTATTTATCCAGTGCCGTGTTTGCACAGCTCCTTGCCGGCTACCGTAACGCGCTCTCGTTTACAATCGGCAATGTTGGCGTTGCAAAATAAAATCAGCCTACTTTAAACTGATTCTTATGGGGGAAACGGTCGGCTCTGTGCCCACAACGCAACGTCAACGATGGTCTCGACAAATAAAGACTCGGCCGAACGTCCGTCCCGACAGGCAAAAAATGGATCGAGTCAATGAGAGAAGTCGGACAAAATTTGGAAACTTCAGACGCTCATAACTCCATGTATGCAAGACTTTGGAGTTCTAATAGTGGTTTCATTGGTTTCTTAGTGAAATTTTCCTCAAAAACACCGTTTGAAATTTAAAATGTGCCGAAATAAACATAGAAATTTGCAGCTTTAGTACAAAATTTCATATCCGACCTCTCTGATTGACTCGATCCACCGTGCGGCACCGGTCTTCAAAGCACACACACCGATCCAATTAGTTCTGTTATGGAGGAGAACATCGTATCGTATGAGCATTTTTTTTTTTTCTGTTGTTTAATGGCTTTGTGACTAAGCACCTGCAGCCAACTTTAGACTATAGTGTGTTTCTATCGGATGGAGAATGTATGAGATTAGGAACCGACTTTAAAGGTGTGAGAAGCAAAAAAAAATAGAGACATGGGGAAAAAAAGAGGGGTTGATAAAATATGAGCATTTCATTGTTCCGAAATTTAACTTAATAAAATGTTTATCTCTGAAGAAATGTGTGTGCATTTTCATTGAAATCTTGACGCACAGTAGATTGAAGTCGGGGGTAAATTCGCCGAGGAAGTCGAAGAAACATAGGTACGCACAAGTTTTCCGGAAAATATGTTTTTTACTATGGGAAATGTGGTGACGTTTGAACGTACAAGTGGCATTTTCTCTATGCACAGTAGTAGAATGCGATAGAGAAGACACCGTGTAAGTGTTCAAATATTGCTACATTCGTCTGATTAAAAGTTTGGTTCTTTGAGAGGTAATGAATATATTGTGTATGCCTGAACTGAAAACTGTTTTGCTTTCATTTTTCAAGTATGATATTATTCTATAACAAAGAAAATTTCTAGAAATTCTTCCATTTTTGAAATTATTCTCACTCTTCTATTTCTAGAAATTTCAAGTCCCAAAGAATTTTTCCAGCTTTATGGCAGCGTTGCCAAGTTTCCACCTTAAAAATTCGATACATTTTGAATCCATTGATACATTGACCAGCGGTCTCAGCTACATTTTTTTAAAAACTGTAAACTTTCATTCACCCGATCGACGCATTACAATTAAAAGACGTTAATTTTTATACATGATTTGAGAGAAAATGGCTCACACTAAACTTATCAAGGATTTGAGTTCATTTATCGAGTTTCAAAAGCTCAAGACACAGTAACTTCAACCACAATCGTTAAACTATGATTAACCCTAACAATGATTGATCGTCGTAGTAAATTTTTGAAAATTACTAACATTGTCACTGCGCCCGAGAAAAGCGGAGAACGTCATCGTGCTGAAGCCTCGTCTCCTCGACGGACATGAATCAAACATCTTGACGATGCTCTGTGCTCCGCCGCGCTCATCAAAAGAATTTATCGCCGCCTGACATGTTTCCTTTTCCAGCGGAGCGGGCCCTCCATCCCTTCGTGGGAACTCGAAAAGAGGTCTCGCCATTCCCGACGGGGGTTAATTACGTGATAAAGAATTATAAAAATGTGAAGCGCATTCGAGTAAGAGCATCACGCGGGCGTTGCTCATTGGTTGAAAAAATGCGGATTTTTGCAGTTGGCATAGAATGCGTCGACAAGTTTACACTGAAAGGGTAGGTTGCAAGAGATGAGATGCAACACTGGAAAAAACAACACATTGGATCTAGTGTCCAGACTATCAAAAACATCGACAAGAAAAAGTACTCTTGATTCAATCAGAATCTAGCTTAAATCAAGAATCAAGCAGCCTCTTAATTTAAACGGATTTCGTTTTGATTCAAGCAAAAATCCGATTGAATCAAGAGTATTTTTTCTTATCAATGTTTTCAAGAGTCTGGACTCTAGATCCAATGTGTTTTTTTCAAGTTCTCACGAAAACAGTAACACATGTTTTGTGATTGCGGGAACAGCTTGTTTCCACTCTTCATTTATTTTTTAACTGATATCAAAACTTAATAACGCTTTTAAATTTTTCATGATTCTCACTAGATTTTATTTAATATATTTGATAAATTTAAGATCGGAATTTTTAGTTGTTCTTTGTTGAACAAATATAACATGAGAGGCAATCTTTGATTTTCCGTCAAAATAACGTACAAAAGAAGCTCACTAGAGTCTCTGCTATTGTTATGCGATGTGTCACTGACAGTGCGGAGAACAGTACAGTAGAGGGTGACATCATGAATGTTTGTGAGTTAATTTACGTAATTTGAGACAAAAACAAATCTTTGAACTAAGCATTATTCCATGATCCATTGAAAGTCATCCTAGCTGTATTTTGTTCATTTTGCAAAATATCGTTTTTGACTCGAAAAAATGTACAACTTCTTGAGTTCGGAACTATTCTAACCTGATCTTATTTTTCAAAAAGTGTGTAAGTTCATTCTTGGCTAGTTTAATTCAATTGGATCTATTTATACTAAAAGAAACCGAGCACCAATAATACAATCAAAATCATGCTACAAGGTTCACAAATCTGATGTGCATGAAGTTTCTTTAAATTTAGTTCAGTCGCGCACAAATCCTACCAGCATAAATATGTTCGACTAATGGACGGCACTCGAGGGGAAATTAGTGTGATTAGCTCCGGACATCCGGCAATGCCGCGGACGAAATTCTCAATTTTTATGCATGGCCGCAACAGCGCGAGCACTCAGGAGAAGATCGCGAGCTGATTAATTCGTGGTGGCTTAGCGGGATAAATGTATTTTAGCGGTGAATAATTCGGCCGCGAGGTAAGAATTAAGACTGCGTTGTCGTCTTCGGAGAGGAAGCGTTTATTTTAGCACCGTGCTGTAGCGGAACGGGTGAGTGCTCTTGTAAGTGGGGGTAGGTGAAATTACTGTCTAAAGAGCGCATTTATATTGCCACATAGAAAGGGGATTAGTGGCACGCGGGGTTTTGCACGAAAAAAAAAAACCAGGGACAAACTTTGGTTTTGTTACTCCTTTCTTAAGCGTGTTTTTTTTTTTTTTTTTAATCGGGTTTCTCATGAGAGAGCAAGTCTTTGGGAGCAATTGGACGTATTTCTGTTAAACGGAAAACGGAACTAAGCGCCAAATTGAGTTCCTTTTGAGGATTTTAGAATCCCGGATAGCGCTTTCTGTCAAACGG